ACTTCTCAGGATGGAAAAGCTAAAATGAGTGTCTAATTCATTACATGAAAAAGTCAGACCTACACCCCAGATGAAGAAATCATAGTGTTCCCAAAGCCAGTGATTTTTGGACAGGGCTGATTAATCTGCTTAGCCATTTGTCGCCTGTCATCCTTACAAACCTTCCAAGCTAGACACATCTGTCTCCTCTTCCAGAAAGCCTTCTAGAACCTTCTAGGCTGGTTTAGTGCTTAAAATCATTGACTGCCCCCACAGTTCTCTGGATAAAACTCAAATTCCCTGGCTTGGCCTATATCAGTCTTGCTCATCCCTCTAGGCTCATGTCTTGCCCATTTCCTGCTTGCCCTGTGCTCCCACCACATGCAGGGAATTACACTTCCCTTAGTACTCTCTCCTACATCTGGGTCTTTGCACAGACCGTGCCGTGGCCAGAAGCCCCCTTCTCTCTCATCCTCGTGTCTGTCTTCACCCTACTTCTCTGACCTGGGGAAAACCTCCTGCACCTTTCCCAGCTGCTCTGGGGTTGGCCTCTCTGGAAGCTTACTGATTCCCCTCACCTGCGGTGTCTCTGTGAGCAGGGACTATTCTCTCAGTGCCCACCACCAGTCCACAAGGCATGAGCTCAGCATGGCTGAAGCCAGTCCATCTTGCTCACAGCCTAGCCCAGTGTTATCACACAGCATCAGAACCTGAGGTTCGTCAAAAATCAAATCAAATGCATGCTCTTGCCCTCCTGGAGTTTTCATTCCAGCAGCAAGAAGGGCAGGGGTTACCAGACAATCAATAATACATAGCTTTTGTAGTATGTGCCGAGGTGTTAAGTGTCACAGAAGGAGTGGAAGCCAAGGCAAATAGGTCTGGGAGTGCCAGGGCGATAGAAGGTGGGTGCCCAGGGTGGGGCTCCTTGAGAACATGGTACTCAGGCAAAAATACCTGCAGGAGGTGAGGGGAAATCATGAGGAGGAATGGAAAAGAAGGTTCTCGGCCAAAGAAACAACCATGACAACTATAAGGCAGGAGAATGCCTGGCCTGTCAAGGAGTCCAGAGGGCTGGGGTCAAGTGAAGGGGGCACTGGTTGTGGGGAGTGAGGTCAGGGAGGTAACGGGGTGGGCGGTGCATGTGGGCCTTCAAGGTCATTGGGAGAACTGGTTTTACTCGGAGTAAAATGGGAAGACACTGAATGGCGTGGCACACTCTGACTTGTTTTAAAGGATTTTTCTGGTTGCTAAACCAAGATGTAAAGGCCCTTGATGTACATCCCTGACTCTCACACCCAATGTCCAACCCTTTATCTTGGCCACTCTGCTAAGAAAACTGCTTTCCACCTAATGGTTTTGATGGTCTTCCCATGTATTACAGAATCACTAGCCTCCTTAGACCGTGGGCTCTATCACAGTATAGCATTTTCTCTTCACTTAGATTTAGCAAATATATCTGGCAAGCCTACATGTAATGTCATGTTTCTAGAGTTAACTTTTCACTCTCTGGTAACCTTCAAGTTCTTGCTCAATGACCATGCAGGAGGCCCTGTCGAGTATACTGAGACACTAATCTAATCCAAATATCAAGAAATAAAAAGCTAGGGTGAACCAGCCTGCCCAAGGGCACAGAGCTAAGTGGCAGCCTGGGACTGCACCCCTTCCCAAGCATCTTCTAGAGTAGTCTCTTAGTTGCCAGAAACGTTACCAGGATGCTGGTCCCAGGCCACCACACCTTAGGCAGCCTGGGTGTGCCTGACGCATTAAGGTGATCTCCCCTCCTCTGTTACGGCTCCACGTGTGCTTACTTAGAATGACTGAAATTATAAAGGAATACTAGTTGCTGCTGTTATGAGGGGAAACTGCTGAAGCAACCACTCTGGAAATCTGCTCTGTATTGGAGACTTTAGACTCCACCAGGAAAATAATACAATGACACACTGGGAAGCTGAATCCCGCCCCTTCCTGTCTGCCTCGCGCTGCAGACAGGTGTCTGGGTGAGAAACTGGTCACCCCTGTCAGACCAAGTTTCCTGCACTGTCTTGCTCTTGTCTGTCAGCCGGGCCCAGGTCATACAAGGCAGATGTGGGAAACAGCTGGTGTCTGCAGAGACAAACAAGAAAGGATGGAGGGAGCAGACAGACATCCTTCTGGGCCAAGTGACTAGGAGGCCCCAGCCCTGGGGATCAGGGAGAGGGTTGGGTGGAGAGTTGGCGAGAAGGAAGTCTGGGAGAAGGTGCTGAACCCTGGGCCCAAAGTTCATACCCTGGACTCAGTCCAGGGGGACTGAGAAGTGAGAAGCCCACCCACCAGGGGAAGGGCAAGTGCAAGCCCAGAGCAGCGAGAGGTCCAGACTGAGTGCAGAGGCAGGGCTGTGTGATGAGGAGTCACTGGGGTCGCATCTCAGCTCGACCACTTCCTGGCTGCGTGGCCTTAACCCTCCTGAGCCTGAGCTGCATTATCTGTAAAATGAGGACACAAAAGCACCACCTACAACGGGCCACTGTGCCGACGAAATGAAACGACACATGTGAAAGCAGTTAGCGCCATGCTTGGCAAATAGCAAGCTCTCGATAAATAGCAGCTACATTATTTGTTTGTAGTCGGGAAAGGCGAAATCCTAACAAGTTCTGTCACCTCGTACAGTTGATCCCACCTCTCTGAGCCTCAGATGTCTATGTGGTCGAGTGGTCCTGGGGTCTAAGGCACAGAGATTCCAACACATGGCCAAACACATACGTGTGCTCCATTAATGGCACTGCTGTACTTGGAAAGGTGCAGGAAGCACGTCTGCCCACTCCGAAAGTTTCTGAGTGCCAGCCTGGGTGCTCATGGTCAGGGAATGTCCCCTGATATGTGTCTGGGGCCAAGAGTTCAGGTGGGATCGCCAGGTAAGGGTGGAGAGGGGAGGAGAGGAAGGAATCTGGCCCATCTCCTGCTCTCAGAGGCTTCCTGCTGTGGAAACTGGAGACAGAAACCAGGCCATTTTTCCACTCGGGGAAACTCCTGTCTGGGGCGTCGGGGATGATTGGCAAGGCCGGGAGCCTCTGATACTCCCCACCCTGTCTTCGCTGCTGGGAAAAGCAGCTTCCACCTTGCCAAGGGGAGGGTCCCACACCCAAGGTTCCATGGCAGTCTGGATTGACAGTGTACTGTCTGCAACCGGAACTGAGAAGGTCATGCCAGGGTGCTCTGAGGACACGGCCCTTCCCCACCTGCTTTCCTCTTTGGAGACTCAGCCCATGCGGGAGAAAGCTGGGCTTGTGAGTTAGAACTGGATTGGAATGGGAGCCTCGGCGCTCATGGGCAAGTGAACTCAAGCAAGTCCCGCAGGTCCTCGGAGCCAAAACTGGCTCACCTGTGCAACGGGGCGAATAGCAGCCTGCCAGGCTGGAATGAGGGTTAAAGAATGTGATGGAGGACAAGTGTCTGACCTTGTCTGGCAGATTCAGCAGCTGACTTAGGGGTATTTTATCTTCTTATATATTTTCTCCACCTCTCATCTCTAGAAGCCAGTTTATTGCAGGGAGTAGCTGGGTATTTACAAGAGAAAGTAGAAAGTTTTCAAGAAGTTAGAGTTTATTTAGAAGTCAAACTGAGAGAGGAAGAATGACTTTAGTTTGGGACCCTTTCTTCTCCAGAAAAAAGACCTCCAGGAATCCCCCATCGGAAGAAAGCCCTGGTCTCTTCCCAATAGCTGATCGCTAAGGCTGAGCCATGTGCACAGTGAGAGGCCTCCAGCTCCAATCCACACGCCACACAACTCTCACAGTCTGTCCATCCTGCCCCAACCTGTTCACCCTCAGCTGCACGCTCCCGGTCCAGGTCTCAACACAAACGTCACCTTCTCCGGGAGATGTGACAGGCACACTATTCTCCGTGAGACTGTACCTCTCCTTTACTGCCTCTCCCGCAAGGTGATTAAATGCATGTCGTGCTCCTCACTACCTAATGTCGCCTGGTCTTCACAGGCCGTGAGCTTCGCCAGGGAGGCGCCATGCCTGCTGTGTGCGCAGGGCCCAGGCTGTGCTGGTTCCCAGACATGCAAAATGGAACTGCATCTCTCTGCAGGAAGGAAGCCTGGCAACCTGAATTCCGTAGCCTTGGCTAACAGGAAGGACGGTTTAGAGTGGAAGCAGGGAACCAAAATTGATGTATAACATGGGTGGAGAAGGAAGAAAGAGCGAGTAGATCAAATGACATCTGATATCAGGTGATTTTCAGATAAGTATCAAAACAGAGATCATTTCCCATTCTCTCAATAATCACACAAATAATTCTCAACTCAGTAGCCCAGGTCGACCACTATCCTCCCAGCTCTTGCCTGGGCCCAAACTCTGGCCCCAGCTCTGGCCCGGAGGAAGGTGGGCATTCCCACCATCTCCGTCTGAGTGATTGATATGCACCTCAGCCCAATGTTTCAGTTTTCCTATAAACACTTGAATCACTCCTGATGCACAAAGAAGAGAATCACAACCAAGGCTCATCGTACAGCAAGAGGGTTATGATGCTCAAGGGTCAGGATGGACCTTGTTGAGAGTGACCTGTCTTCTCTCTTTCCCTCGACCATAGCCATCACCCTAGAAAGGCATGTTCTCTGCAGGACTTTTCATGTCTCTGACCCTGTTTCCCTGGTCACCACCCCCACTTCTTCCTCTCCACCAAAATGCAGCACTGAATGCTGAGCCTCCTGCAGAGCCTTTTTCACCTCTTACCTGAGGCTGCACAGCACTCTGTCCTTCCCTTTAAAAGTATGTATTACACTGTCACTTGTCTAAGCTTTCAGGGTAAGGGACCACATCTGCAAAAATCATCCATGACCCTCCAAACCTTGCTCAGGGTCCAAGCACATGACAGTAGCTCCACTACTGGCTAAAAGATTAAAAGGCACAAGATAGTATGATATAATACAATACAGCCAGTAGGCAGGCACTGTCACAACCAGAGCAATGGACTGCCCAACAGGTAGGGGGCATCCTGGCCTAGTAAGCTGGGCTGCTGGAGAGGAGGGTACTGCCTACCTTTTTGGTCTTCACCGTGGATGTGCAGCAGTCCCCACCATCGTAGTTGCAGAAGGCTCTGTTGTTGATGGCATCACAATAATTGTCTCCCATGAAGGGCTAGAGGAGGAGAGAGGCAGGAAGGAAAGGTGCCTTGTTAGTATCCTAAGGCAAGGGGGGGGGGGGGGGGTGGCAGGCATAAGTCTATAATCATTTAGCCGTCTCTCATCTTCTCCCAAACCTCTTCCTGGCTTCAGATCCCAATGCCCCCTTGGATAAGTTAACACTTCTACATTTATAAAGAGTCTTATGTAGCCAAGTTTTCCCCAATTAAAGTATTTGCCCTAGGAGACACACTCCTGTATACGGGGGAATGTAAAGCTAGACCACTTACATCTTTCTAATGTAGGGAGCTCATTTTACTTTAAGAAATGATAAGCAAAATGGAGTCTCCTTGCCCCACTTTTACTGGTAGGAGGAAATTTAAAAAATAATTTATAATAAAATATATGCAAATATATTAAGATACTGAGTGTGAACTGCCCAAGTAACCACATCTAACTGGCCAGTGTCAACATGAAGAGGAGTATGGGAGAAAGGTCCATGAGACCTTTTCAGTAGACTCAAAGGAGTTGGCCTCATCAGCGAGCTTTGTGCAAGTGTCCCTGAGGAAAGGACATTTTGGCTGAGACTGGGAGGTGAGTGGGAGTTAACCAGATAGGAATGGATAAGGGAGAATTTCCAGAGAAAGGGGCATGTGCAAAGATCTGCTACTTAGAGCTTTCTCCTGTCTGGTATTTCTCATGCTGCTACTTCTAACAATGGAAGCAATTTGCTCTTCAAGACCCAGCTCCAACATGGTCCCTCTAAAATGCCTTCCCTGACACCCCCAAGACCTTCTGCCTTCCTGCAGTTTCCTGTCTGTTCTTTTAACACTGAGTTCCTTATGGACAGGAATATGTGTCATCCATTGGTATTGCCCCTATTTCCCAGAAAAATGCCTGGAAATGTGAGCAAAATATGTGTTCCTTGAGTGTTTATTTAGTAAAATGATTGACAATGGAGGCACACATGGCTGAATGGATGCACGGATAGATGGAGGGCAAGAAGACCCCACGGGCAAATCAGGGGAGCACAGTGACTGTTCTCACTTGGCTGAGATCATTTTATTCTCAGAACCAAGAGCCATATTGGCCACATTATAGGCACTCAGTGGGGCTATGATGACTGAGTGAATGACCACTTTGGACACAACTTGGGGTACAGGGCTAGGGGTTCAGTGTCTCAAACCCTTTCTGGATCCTGGCTACCTCTACACCCTCCAGGTGATGGCCCCTCCCTAGACCCAGCCTTTCTATCTCTTCTAAGCATCCTTTTCAGTCCCAGACAAGAGTTCAACTATTAGCGGGAAGCTCAGGAAGAAAGGAGAGTAGGGGCACCTGCCAGGGCAAGGGCGATAAGCATCACTGGCAGGGCTTGGAGCCTGACAGGTGGGTTTCACAGGCCCCAGTGCTGAGTCAAAGGAGGGATCGAATTCCGCTGTCACACTGGTGTTCAGACCGTCGACTCAGCAGGACGCGTGCCCAGGTAACCCAAGCTCCCTTTGCCCGAAATGCTGGACTTATCCAGGGAGATGGGAGGAAGCAACAACCACATGGCTATGGCCTTGGTGTTGCTGTCCCTTGATGACTCTTGAGAGAATGAGCTTTCTTCCTGAGCTTCTTAAAAGCTCCAATTAGGTGCACTGAGAAGATGCCACAGGAGGTCTCTAGCCAATATGTAGACAAAAATGCATGTCCCAGGGGACTGTCTTGTGACACAGGGCAGGGGATGGTTCAAAAGTAGGAGGTGACCTACTGGGGAAGATAGAGCACCCCCTGGAAGTCGGGAGCCCTAGGCTCATGTTTGCTCTGTGTGTTATGCTGTGCCACCTTGGCCCAGTCCATTCCCTCTCTGGCCCACAATGTCCAGTTTATACAAGAAATGGAATAGGATGAGACACACTAAGCACCCTTCCAGGTGGGGCATTCTATCACAATTTAGCCCAACCACCCACCGTCTAGGTCTCCGTTCCCACATCTTTAGATTAAAAGGTCATGTTTAGGTCACCTAGAAGAGCATTTCTGGTTCTGGCATTGTAAGAATTTCATCGAATATAACGTTTTCTAGAGCACAGTCTAGTTCTTTTCAGCTGCCTTTTCCTGAGTGGGATCTGGGGAACCATGGAGATTTGGACATCCACCTGGATGGGATTTGGGGTCTCTCTTCACCACCAGCTGAGCAGAACCACAGGGCATGGGGCGCACAGACGCATCTTTTAGTTTTACGAAAAGCACCTCCTGAGAGCACAGGTGACACCCCCAGTTCTCTGCCCTCCCTAAGCTTGTCCCTGATACACAGAGTCAGAGCTCCTTGGTGCCAAGGCCCAGGGCATGGCTGTGACTCTGAGTTGAAGGGTCAGAGAGCATCCTGGTTCTGTTATCCATTTATCATATTTAAGCTCAGTGGCTGAGTCTAAGGGGTTGAAGAGAAAGTGAGTGACACGCATATGGCAGAAGGACATGACCTGTTAAGATGCTCACCATAAAGTAGGAATGGAAAACACCTGCCTCACATGGTTCTGTGAAGGTTAAATGTGAACATGCTGGTAAAAGCCCAGCATATTATAGATGCTAAATTGATACAGTCTCCCTGCCGCCCTCCCTCAGAAATGCACTATTATGCTAAATGCAGGGTTAGGAAGCAGAACAACCCAGCTCAAGATCTTGGTTCTGTTACCCAGTAAACATATTTTTGAGTATGTTTGTTGATATCTCTGTGCCTCAATTCCACCAGCCGTAGATTAGAATTACTGATTTCTGGCTAGGAGGCCAGTTAAAGGGATATTTACAACATTTAGCAGGTACAGTAAATGGTAGCCATGATTGACACAATAACAATAGTAACAGTAGGGTCATTTCTGGGGACTCACCTCACAGCCTTTGACACAGTGGATCACAGCAGGGTGAGGGTACCACTTGAGGCCAGCCGTGCAGACGACTCTCTGTGGAGACAGGAACGGGTCAGATGGGTTTGGTTCTAGGGGGGAGCATCTCTTTGCTGGTACCACATTCCACCACTCACCACTTTTTGGATCTTCCGAGTTCTAACCTCCCCTTAGGATTTACATGGAGAAACTGCCAAGGTATTTGCAATAGCAGGAGCCATAAGATTAAAGTAACCCTTGTGTTCACTGTAGGGGTCCTGAGTCTGTATTTCACTGGCAGGAATAGGGCTGACAAGAAGAATGGAGGGATGGAGAAGATCGGAAAAGCCCTTCAGAAAATGTGTGGCTCATCTTTGACCCATGGACAGAGTTGGGGGTAAGGTGGGAGGGAGAGAGAGTGGTGTGTGTGTACAAGTGCATGCATGTCTGTGTGTATGCATGTAACTATATGTGTATACATGTGTGTGGCTGCCACAGGAAGATGGGGAATGGTGTGGAGCAGGGAGAATGCGAACACTGAGGACCGCTGCCCAGGGCCACTGTGGGAACTCCTTAAAAAGGCACATTCTTTGGGGCCACCTTGCATCTAATAAATCTAAATCTCTGCAGTTCAGGTCTAGGGACTGACTGCATTTCAAAAACAAGCCTCCCAATGATTCTGGTCCCCAGTGCTGTTTGAGAGCCAGAGGATGAATGAACTAACCTTGAATTTGGGACCCGTGGAGACAGAGAACCCTTCGGGCCTCCACCTGCTGCCCTGCCATATGGGCCTGCTCACACTTCCCTGAGATGGCCCACACGTCCCTTCCCTATCCCTGTGACTTTGTTCCTGCTGCTCTCCTTCCCCAAACAGCTTGTCCCCATCTTTTCACCTGAAGAATCTTTCATTATCTCTGAACTTTCTGCTACAGACTCCCTGCCTCTGTGCTGCTCTCCCCTCCCCCATCTTCAGGCAGAGCTGACAGGTATGCATATATGTATTTATTTATAGCCTCCTTTAATAGAAAGTGCTGTTATGATAATGACAACTACAACGTACGGAGTGCATTCACGGTACTAATTGCTTTATGCATGATCTTATTTCTTTCTTGCCAGGCAGTGAGGTGGGCATTACTCTCAGGTCATAAGGACAATTAATACCCTAGGCTCCAGAGCGGTTACATGGAGAAATCAGGATTTGAAACCTAGCAGTCACTTTGGAAATAACGTAAAGCAGCTCATAGCATAGCATCCAACATGAGGATAATTTTTAAAGTAGGTGAAAAAAGAAAGATAAAACTAGGGAAATGAAATAGCATCAGGAATGGGGCTAACATAACCATCCTAGAAGCTCCCTTCTCTAGTCTATAATAAATGACTTGTTTTCCATCCCAGATTAACAATGATTTCTTTTAAAAAGTAAAAAATGAGATAAAAATGACCGGGAGGCAAATTCTTAGATTTGTAGTGAGAAGTAACTGTGTCTTCGGCCAGCCATGGAAGTCTACTATATGATCGGGGCTTGCTCTCCTGGCTGAGAGCCAGTTGATAAATTTTAATTAAGAAATAGCCCAGCCGGTGGGGATCGGTGGTTGAGGGTTGAATTGAAATTAAAATTCATGGTTGAATTCCAGGTCAGGGCACATGCCAGGTTGCGAACTTAATCCCCAGTAGGAGGCTTGCAGGAGGCAGCTGATCAATGATTCTTATTGATATTTCTCTCTCCCTCTCCCTCTGAAATTAATGAAAATATATTTAAAAAAGAAATAGTCACATGGTCAGGATGTGGAAAAGCCATGTGACTGGCTCATTCTTTCCCTGAGGGCAGACCTATCTGGAACTCAAATAGTAGTTAGGTTTCTTGGTGAGCTTGGAACTGAGGATCACATGATTCTAAGACATGTCTGAAACTGGTATGGGTGCCTTTCTTCTCTGCCACACTGCATCTCTGGTTCACCTTGGATCTCTCAGGCCTAGACTGGTGCCTGGCACGTGGAGGAAGTGTAGGAAGTATTTATGTTATAAATGAATGAATGGATCCATCTCAGGATAGAGATGATTTTATCGATGGACTGTATTTTCTCGTTTCCCCCCTTCTCCTAAAGCAGTGGTGGGCAAACCCATTAGTCAACAGAGCCAAACAGCAACAGTACAATGATTGACATTTCTTTTGAGAGTCGAAAACCAACTTCTGTGCATGGGCCACGAAGTTTCAATTGCACTGTATGTGCGCGCCCACACATGGTGTTTTGTGGAAGAGCCACACTCAAGGGGCCAAAGAGCTGCGTGTAGCTTGAGGATCAGGACATTTACTATGCCTACCACAGTGTCTAGTTTAAAGAACCAGTTTAGTGTAGAACGAATTAAAGATCTTGGACTAAAAGCCTACTTCAAAAATCTGCCAGGAGTCTTAAAATGTGAAATCTATCTAGCTCCCTACTACCTCTATTGACATGTCTGCCTTTTCCCAATAGATTTAGGCAAAGCAATATATGGAAAGGACCTTGGGTGCTGAGGTATGACAGGCGTGGTTGCAATTATGACTTAAAATTGCTCTGTAAATTTCCACTCTCAGACTTGGTTCTCCCATTTGTTAAATGGGCACTGAAAGTGTCACAGGCTTGTTGTGATGACACAGAGATAAATAATATGGAAATGGTTAACCTAAGACTGATTACTTAAGGTTCTTAAGGGCAGGAGCCTAGGTTTGAGACCTCTCTGTCTCTCCTCAGAACCAGGCATGGAGCACAGCAAACACATATGTGTTGACCAAGTGAAGAAATGTGAGTGCCTCTCATGTTCCTCTCTTCCAGCTTAGCTGCTTTTGTGCCCTGATTCCCAGCCATGGGGCTAGAAGTAGAGAGAATCACCTGCTTTCATTCTCTGAGAAACTTTAACCATACTTTCATTTTTTGGGCTGCAGAGTCTGTTCCCAGCCAAAATACAGGATGTTGGAGGGGCACTCAGTAATGGTTGAAGTAGTAGAAACAGCAGGGTTAGGATCCACTAGGGATTTGATGCCCATCCCTCCCCTTACTTATTTGGGAACTAATTTAATCCGTCCGTAGGAGTGTCTTGGTGTGGTTATACATGTTTCTGTCAGTTGAGGTTTACCTGATGTGAGTTCAGAAAAAGGACTTTTATACCATCTGCATGAGCCTATTTATCTTTCCAAGGTGTTTGGAGTTTCCACCATTCCTCAGAGCTGCATGCCCCACCTGTCTCACTACAGGGCCCCTCTGTATGCAAGGAGAGCTGGGAAAGGGGACAAGCAGCAGGATATGAAGGAAAGGGTGGACTGTTTACAGCACATTTTGTGAGATCCCAATGGGGCCCTTCGGCTTTGATCCCCTTGATGCCAGTGAGACCTCTAGTCCCATCAGAGTCCTTTCACAATAGGTTTTGTAAGGCAGCTTTCCTTTCCTGCTTTGGTGCATAGGAAGAATATACTGTTTTCCTAGCTGCAGTGATCACCAGCATCAATGCCATCACCACCATCATCACTGTCAACAACACTAGCACTATCACCACCATCATCAACACCACCAACCCCACTATCATCGTCTCTACCACCACCACCGTCACCTCTAACTTAATCACTATCATCATCATCACCAACTCCACTATCATCACCTCTACCCTCACTATCATCATCACCATTACCATCAACCATACAATCATCACTTCCCTCACTACTACTGTTAACATCAACACTAACATCATCACCTCCACCCACCCCACTATCATCACCTCCACCCTCACTACCACCCATCATCACTACCAACACCAATCGTATCATCACACTTCTACCCTCACTACCACCACCATTATCATCATCTCCACCTTTACCACCATCAATACCACCACCAGCATTATCACTTTCACCAGTACCAGCACCATCACTGTCACCAATAACACCAGAACTACTGCTGCCACACTACTACCACCACTACTATCATCTCCATCATCATCAACCCCATCATATTATTCAGATCCTTATCAACACAAAATCCTCTATTAGCAAATATTGTGGTCCAAGACCTGTGCTCAGAACTTTCATTTAATTCTTATAATCATGAGATAGGTACTAATTTAAAATCTGGTCTACACAAGAGGAAACTGACGCACAGAGAAGTTAAACAAGTTGCCCCAAATCATACACATAGATGATGGGAGTGAGGAATTAAACCCACATCCATCTGATTTCCAGGTCTATACTTTGAATGCCACTCTCTCCTTCAGATTCCCCTATCCCCTGAAGCTGCAAACATAACGTGGCTTACTCTTTTGACCGATGGATAGACCAAGGTTTAAAAAGGTGGAGAGGCTTTGAGACAAACATTGGAGTGAGCAGAGTATCTAAAAGACGGGCCCCAGGCAAAATTTGACAAATAAGAAAATACACTGAGCCTCCTCATCCTGAGCTCAGATCCCACACCCCTCCTGATAGCATATATGAAATTGCCTAACAAGCAGGGCCTACATCTCACAGATATTCAATAAAAGCTGACTTCTTTTTTCTTTCCTTAATTCCCTCCCTCTGGCCCTTTCTTCCTCTTTTCCTCTCTTTCCTCCTTCCATTCTTTTCTCAGATGCCATTGTAAAATTGAAGGCCCCATCTACCTAGAGGAATTGTAAGTATCTGAGGTTGTGAGCAGCATTTTCCCTCAGGAAACTCCAGCTCCTCTGGGTGAGGAAGTGCCAGGCAGAAAGGAGGTGCTCCTGAGGAGCTCATGGCAGAGCCTGAACCCTGAATTCTAGGTACCCGGGGCCAGAAGAGTCGATCTCATTCAAAGGTTGTGAGCCAACAGCTTCCAGGCTACACAACCCACAGAAATGTTTGGTTTGGCACATGAAGTCCTTAACAGAAGTCAAAATTATTTGCCAATATTAAAAAAAAAATAAAACAAAAAAAAACCTAAGAGATTTTATATTTTAAAGACTCAAGAAAAAATGAAAAATCTGGCCACCCCAAGCCCATATTTCCACCTTGCAACACTTGGCTAGAGCTGCCCCCTTTGGAAGCAGCCTGTTCTCCTCATTTCACCAGTCCCCACCATTCCCTGTAGTCTCTCCAGCATTCAGCCTGAGGGGCTTTTCAATCTACTGTGTTTCCCCAAAAATAAGACATCCTCCGAAAATAAGACCTAGCGCATGGAAAGATAAGACATCCCCTGAAAATAAGACCTAGCGCAACTTTGGGAGGAAAAATTAATATAAGACACTGTCTTATTTTCGGGGAAACAGGGTATCCTTGCATTTGTGTTGCATTGTCTCATTTATTAGGTTGGAAGATTTTCCTATTACTTTCAAAGTGCATGTGTATGTACCTGTGTGTGCAGGGTAGGGAAAGAGGGGATAGTTAGGGGGAACTCCCACAGGGGAGTACTTTAAAAAAATTAAAGGATAGAGTGTTTTGTTCTTAAAGAAAATCAAACTAAAATATTTTAGTACACCTGAAACTAATATAACCTTATATGCCAATTATATACCAATTAAAAAAATAAAATCAGCAGGGATTACTTTGGGGTGGGGGGAGGGCACTGCCTGGCACAGAGAGGGGAGGACTCTGGGGAGCTGTAATGTACCCACCCAGACTTGGGTACTGGTTTCATGAATGGGCACAAACATAAATACTTACCACAAAGTATGCTAAAGATGAGCATGTAAGTTATAGATCAGTTGGAGGTAAAGAACTCAACTATCTGAAAGTCCTCTTTGTTATGTTGGGTAGTATGTCATGAGGGTTTGTTATATTTCCTCTAAGTCTGAAATAATTATTGTAAATACTACTGCTATTATGAAACATATACGTAAGTATTCAATATAAAAAAAAATGATGTGTTTGGCCTGCTTCACCCATTAAGTGTAGCGGGTCCATTTTAGCCCACCTGCCAGGATCCTGCAGATGTTTGAGTTTGTGGCTCTCTGATCTCAGCCTCTCTTTCATTTCACAGATGGGGAGACCGTGGCCTAAAAAAGTGATAAGATTTGTCCAAGGACATACAGCAAGAAGGTTCCTGGGCTTGAACTAGAACCGTGGTCACCTCACTCAGCAATCATAAATATTTAGTGAGCACCTACTGTGAGGTAGGCACTGCGGGGCGTATCATGGTCAATAAGATGACCACAGGCCTGCCTTCACAAAGCACATAATGTCAGTGGTGATACAGTCCTCATCTAAGCAATTCTCGTTCTCTCCTTATATGCCAGTGCTTAGAACCGAGCCCTTCATGTACTGAGCCACCAGTGTTGTGCTGTAGCAGGCTTGCCTTGGCTCACAAGAGGCAACAGTGAGGTTGTCTCTTCCTAACTTTGTGTGCAGTGACAGTGACTTGGAAAACTTGGTATTTGCCACAGTGAGAATATTTACACCACAGTAAGTGGCAAATGCTACAAATCAGAGTTCATTTTCAGGGGAGAAGCAGTTGCTAACCATTTACCAGCCTATCCCTGATAATTGGTCAGTAAACATTTTGCCTTTATCATTACTGTACATTCAAGATAGGCTGCATGGGTAGCTCGAGTAAGCTGTAACATTAAACTGACATGGTCCTCATTCACTTCCTCTTAGGCATGAGGCTTCCTCTCTGAGACTCCATTTCCTCCACTGGCAAAACAGAGACTACTACATACCTGATAGGGGAGTGTGTGTGTGCACGTGTGTGTGTGAGTTGGAGTTTGGGGTGAAAATAAGCAATGGAAAGTGCCTGACCCAATGTTTGATGCATAGTAGGCATCCATGAACTGTCAGTTCTTGCCTCTTACTTACTTTTCTTTTTTTTTTCCTTTTTTTTTTTTTCCTTTTTAAAAAATGTATCTTTATTGATTTCAGAAAGGAAGGGTATAAGAATCTCTTTCACAGCCTGCATAGAAAGAGTTCCAATTCAGGGTTCAGGTTCTGGAGAAGGGCCACACACAAATGAAGAGTCTTGAGACTTGAAGAAATTCAACTTGGCCATATGGGGGGCCAGCCGGTAGTCCAACTCTAGTGGGAGAACTACTACTGCTCTGGCCTTCCATCCCCTTTTATTGATCGCCTCTTACTTTCTTACCCCGGGACAAAGGTGAAAGGAGCTGGGGCAGACCCTTGCCCCAATCATCTACCTCACACTGGTCCTGGAAGGCAGACCCGCAGAAGGCAGAGCTGTGCGGGGCCTGCTCCGGCCTGGTGTGCCTTGCCAGCACCAGCAGCTCTATTTCTGCAGCTCTCGTCACACAAGGGGCAAGTGTGCAGCGGAGGCCAGCTTTTCTGCCGTATTCCTGGAAATCATCAATCTCTGCCCTTCGCCCTCCTCCCTTTTTCTACCACATTTTTTTCCTCCTGGATAATGAGGCCTCCGGAGACCAGTGGAGGTCTGAACCTCGTTATGGCTCTCTTGGTAGGCCAGCATCAATAAAGGCCGGCCGACCAGGGAACCGGGTGGGGGCTGGGGCAGACAGGCAGCGGGTGGGCAACTGAGGAGGGGGGCTTGCAGGCTTTCAAATCCCTGGATTTATTTCACAGTGAATTATAACTGAATTTTTTAGTGCCCGGGGCTCTCAGAGGGAGGAATGGGAATTCACCTGGGGTGGGGAGGGTGTGGAGCAAAGGCCTGAGTAGAAGCTGGGCCAAGGCACCGTGGTCTGGGCCAGGCAAAGGAGCCCCGCGGTCCTGGGTGTGAGTGTCCCCTGAGTCTGCACTGTGTGGGAGTGTGTCCCTGCCTGTGGGTATGTGGGAGTCTGAGTAGGAGCGAGAGGGAGGCACGAGGGAAGGAGCTGAGGTCATGGTCCAAACTCTGCTCCTGTGTGACCCTGGGTGAGGGGTGGGGAAAGGCATGGCCAGTGGAGAAAAGGACTGGAGGAGTGCGAGCTGAGGGAAACAGGGCTGCCTGGTGGGTGTGTGGGAGAATCAAAGGCAAGGAGACAGAGACCAGGCAGACAGAGGGGGTGGACATAGAGGGAAAGTGGGCAGGGAAGGCAGAGGGAGGTGACAGTCCTGTCAGGAGTGGGAAGAGAGACACAGGGAAAACAGAGGCAGGAAAGGGAGAAAAGTTGGAGATGGCACAGAGAGCAGGGGAAGGGGAGGAGAATGCTGAGGGGCACGGGGCAGCAGAGAGGGGCTGGCCAGGTCCATAGACCCCGAGTGCTGACTAAGCCCTCACAATCCTGCCCTCCACTCATTTGAGAAACAGGACACCTGGTATCAGGTTCTGCCCCAGCTATCTTGGGCACGATCTGCAGGTGGGCAGACCGGAGGCCTCCCAGCACCAGGGCAGGGACTTCAACCCTGCACCCCGGAGCCTCTGCCTCCCACTTTCTCCAGGGGAAGGGCAGTGCCCAGAGCCAGTTCCTGTGGCCTGGAATGCGTGCTGCTCTGGAGGATAAGAGTGGGCCCCCACTTCAGCTTGGGATCCCTGACTGATCACATAGGGAAGTGGGAGTGGCCAGCCCCCAAATGAAATGGGCAATGCCCTTGGCTGTCAGGAGGCGGGGCTTCCAAGGTCTAGCCAGGCAAGCCAGCCTTCGCCTTGAGTAGAGCAGGGCATGTGACTCAGGCTTGGGTTCAAGCTGTCACTCCTGAGATCTTAGAGTCCACAGGTTGAGAAGGCAGACAGTGCTTCCCACCTTGCACCACAAAACCATTCCAAGGTTTAAATGCAGTCTTGTGTGCCAGTACTGGGCACATGACCATAGTAAGTGCTTCACAAACAGTGTTACTAGTTCCCTATTCACATTAATTGCTTTCCAACAAATGAGGAAAGCACAGGGAAGATGCCAGAAATCTAGGATGTGGGAGGAAGAAGGCTTCTAAGAGCTCACAGTGAGAAGCCTGAGAGCACCTCTCTCATGAGTGCGTATGTGACCCAACTCTGTGCTCTCTACTCATGGGTGTGTGTCCAGGTTTCCTCTTCTGTAACTAGAAACATCAGTCCCCTAGGCTGTCAGCAGGATTCAGTGGTACAGGAAAGCATAGGGCCTAAGAACAGGACCAGACAGAGGGCAAGTATTAAATAGTTAAGGCCCAGAGAGTGACTGTGAGCCAGTTCCCACTGCACAGGGAGGTGTGGCAATGTGATGGTGTAACAGGTAAAGCGATGAGTGCAGCACCCAGGCAACGCAAGTGTTCGCCAAAGGCATTTTCCTCTCCTTAGGCCCAGGTAGGCAGCCCCTGTCACTTACCTGCACCCGCGTGGGATTCAGCCAGTGAGGGATGTCACGGACGGTCACGTTCGTGGGCAGGATAACGGGCTCGCTGTTGTGGTCCAGGCAGGTGGCGGCACACTCGGACCCTGTGGGGAAGCAGAGTGTGAGCTGGCCAATCAACCCCAGTCTCCTAACGCCCAGGGCTGCTCTCCCCCAGTGTGGGCCCTGCTGCTCCCTGGTCCCCAGTGGACTGCCCACCCTGAGGGCAGTGGGAGAGAGGGAGCTCCCCAGCAGGGCTGTCCTCGGTCTCCCTGACTGTTCTCTCATCTCCAGTCCAGCTGATACCCATTGCCATTTGCATTGGCCCCAAGCCCAGTTCTGTCTGGTACCTACTTTGCTTGAAGACCTTTCAAAGGTTCCCTACATCCAGGGCAAGGTCCAACCCCCTTCTCCAGCCTTCATGGTCTTGTCTCCCACTAACCACCTTCACACTCTGTTTAGTTCAACTGGCCTGTGCCTGGCTTTCCCTCTGAGCCTTACACGTCCTTGCCTCTGTCCTGCTCTCATTCTCTCCCCCTGAATCATCCCACCACTGCTTTCTCACAGTCAAATCCGACTGGCTATATATAATTCTATTAGCCATTCTAAAGGTTCCCTTTCAAATGTGTGTATGTAATACATAGAAGGTGGGGCAAAAATAGGTTTAAAGTTGTTCCTATGGCCGAAACCGGTTTGGCTCAGTGGTAGAGCGTTGATCTGCAGACTGAAAGGTCCCAGGTTCGATTCTGGTCAAGGGCATGTATATTGGTTGCGGGCACATCCCCGGTAGGGGGTGTGCAAGAGGCAGCTGGTTGATGTTTCTCTCTCATCAATGTTTCTAGGTCTCTCTCTCCCTTCCTCCTCTCTGTAAAATATCAATAAAATAAAAGTTGTTCCTATGGAAAATAGTAAAATTACACACACACACACACATATATATGGCTAATATGTAAACTGTCCCCTCGGGAGTTTGACCGGGAGACAGGGAGTTCAGTCACTCACTATGACGTGTTCTGACCACCAGGGCATTGGGCGAAATGAAGGAAGGCCCTGGCTGGTAGCTGGAAGGTCCCAAATGGCTCTGATTGCAGGCCAAGCCCTGGGACCCTATCCATGCACGATTTCATGCATCAGGCTTCTAGTTAATAGATAATAATACAAGAATAAACTCTGTGTTTCAAGTCCAGCATGGTTCAGTGGTGGAGTGTCAACCTATAAACCAGGTAGTCACAGTTGGAGTCCCTGTCAGGGCACATCCCGGGTCCTGGGCTTGATCCCTAGAAGGGGGCATGTAAGAGGCAACCGAGCAATGATTTCTCTCATCATTGATGTTTCTCTCTCTCTCCCTCTCCCTTCCTCTCTGAAATCAATAATATATTAAAAAAACAAAACCCTACTCTTGCCCCACCATGTACACATATGGACATGTACACATACATATGGACATGTACATACACACACACTTCTCACGCATGCATAGTTTATCCCATATCTTTCCTATTGCAGCTTGTCCTCCCTTCAGTGGAAGAGGCATGGGGGCTGAAGAGGAAGCGATGGTGGGTGGCAGGTGCAGGGCAGGTTAGAACTTCCTCACTTTAAGCACCAGGATGCTAAGCCCAGATGGTGAAGCGACCTGTCTTGTGAGTGCCTTTCAGAGGTTGCTCCTTCTGCACATCTAGCCCCTAGGAGCTCAGGTTACAGAGCTGGCGGTCCAGTACCATGAATGAGAACCCGTCTCTCAGACATCCAAACCCAGTGATGGAAATAAAGGAGTCTCACAGAGGAAGAGTAAGGGAGATAGTGGAAGGGGACAGGGGTCGGGGGGGTGGTGAAGGACCAGAGGAGAAGAAAACAAGGGGGGAATGCAAACAGTCAAAGATGAGTGATGAGAGTAAAGGGGACTCTGGCTGAGCAGTGGGGAAAGCTCAAAGCTGGTGGTTGTCATGAGATCCATTCTGGAGTTTCTAGAGAGCAAGGACAACACCAGGCTTCCAGGATAAAATGCTTCTCAAAAAAAGGGGCAGCCTCAGACACAGACCAAAGCTGTCTTATCCCAAGAGGGAGAAAGGAAAAAAACTCTGGTCAGCACAGGAGACAGTGGCCTCCCTGGGATGCCGCCTGTCTTACTTCCTCTTCTCTGTGCTCCCCGCTCTGCATTTTCCTCCCTCACGCTTGGGCAGCTCTGGGCTTGGAGACCAGCTCCCTCTCCCAGGCTGCTGTGTTGTGATATATGAGCCTTAATTGGTATCATCACAGAACAGTGATCTCACCAGGCCCCTGCCTGCCTCTCCTTCCCCAAGGAGTAGGGAAGTGGCAGCTTTGGTGGCAGTAACCACGAGGGCTCCTCACTGCCACAGACCTCCCTGTCCTGCTGGGGGGCTGGCCCAAGCTACATGTCTGGGCAGCCCCAGATGTGCCCTCCAGCTCCCAAGTCCCACGCAGACCCAGCTCTTGTCTACAAGGCTTCTGACAAAGTCCCTCTCCTTAGAGTGGTGGGCTCTCCCCAGGGAGGGGTTCCACCTGGGAGGGATGATGTCTGAGGGGCCTTCGGAGGTGAGGAGGGAGAGGGAGCTGGTCCCAGAAGGTGAGGAGGGAGAGGGAGCTGGTTCCCAGGAGGTGAGGAGGGGAGGGAGCTGGGTGTCCAGGAGGGACCATGCCCTCCCTTTTCCTTCTCTCGCAGTGTCCCCCATTGCATCTCCTGGCTAGGCACCCCTGTGTGCCCCCACCAACCTGGCTGACCCATTCATGAAGGGCATCTATCTGTGTGGCAGTGGGAGAGTGGGCTGCAAGGGAGGGAAGGAGATTCAGGTTCCAAGGTCAGACAGACTTCCTTCCCTTTCTGCTCTGATCATGAGGAAGCTCATGGGTGAAGGGATGCTGCTGCCACCTCTGCCCACTGCTAGTCTGTGCTGAGGGCACGCAGAGCCAGGCTCTGTGGCTCATTTGCGAGCAGTTGTGTTATGGGAATGCAGTATATACACAGGTGGGCAGGAGATGTATTGGTGTGTTTGCCTTTTGTGCATCTTTCTGTGTGTGTGATATGTTTGGTGCCTAAGAGGTGTCTGTACTGATGTGTCACGTGTGAGCATGCACTCTGTGTGCCTGTGTGGATGTGTTTGTGTGGGTGCTGTGTTTGGGTGGCATTTGGCTGATGTGTACGTGCTGGGCATGAGTCTACTGAAGGATGTGTGTGTTTGGGTCTACATTTCGTTCCCAAATATGTGTGCTTGTGTTTATTTATGCATGTGTGAATATATTTGAATGCGCCAGTGGGTGCAGACATAAAGTCTTTTTTTATAGGTGTATTTTTTTGTTTTGTTTTTTAATAAAGTAACTCAATCAGTGTTTTGCTTACTGCCAGTTGTATGACTGAATATTCACTGCATATCCTAAGTTGGGGGTAGGGACACCGTCACAGACGTCACGTCCAGAGCCATGCACATCCATCAGCAATGACAGGCAGAGTGCTGGCCTTGGGAAGGAGCAGACAACAGACTCCCTGTTGCTCACCTGTTGCCCCACATTCTAGAATGTCCACATTGGCAGCCCTAGGAGATCCCACCTGTCTGCACGCCTCCCGTCAAGGCCCTTTGGACCATGGCTCAGTAGGATCTTAAAGTGCCCTCTGAATCTTCATGAGAGCAGGGCTAAATATAAGAAGGGGCACTGGTTTCTCCTCTAGGTTTAGGTCTGGGCTCTGAGGTGGCTTCCATCTCCAGCAGGATGCTCAGGCCCTGCCCACCTCTGCTCTCAGGAAGTGGCCACTCATCTTACTGGGTGCAGAACAGGCTGGTGCTGCATGCTGGGGAGGGAGTGTGTGCACAGATAACCTGCTCCAGACATGCCGGGTGATTGTCCCATAAATCACACTGGCCATGAGAGAGGACATTCAGTTCCCTGGGCTTTTCATCATGGTCAATTAGGGAACCCGCCCAAAAGGTCAGCATCACTGTCCTCGGGTGAGCTCAGGCTCCATGCACACCCCGTTCCCCAGAAAGCCTCAGGACGGTGATTAATGTGTCTGTCCAGGCTCCTGGTTCCCACCAGGCCAATGCCTGGCATCGAAGCCCAGGTTGTCCCCTCACTGCGAGTACTTTGCAAACTGGCCTATCACCACGCAAATGGTATTTTGAAGCGGCTATTTGTTTATTCTCATTTCGGAGGCAACCAAGACGCTATGGAAAGAACTCGGGCTTTGGAGCAGGTTCTGTTCTCCCTTTAAGCCTCTGTTTGCTCAGTTGTTGAAGGTTACTGAGAGGAAGGACATATGCTGACCCATGTAGATGCTCATGAGTGATTACTTATGCAAATGTTGTGATTCATAATAAAGGCAGCCACACCGAACCATATTGCTTTCTCACCTCCCTCCCCCTGCTACATGGTTCCTCTGTCTGGAATATCATTTTGTGCCCAACAAGCTCTTTCAGAGCCCTCTGTAGGTGAGCCTGCTATACACATTCCTCCCACCCTCACTGCATCACCACCCCAGCTCTCTCTAGGAGGAAGGAGCCTGGTCACATCTGTCTCCCTTACCTCAGGGCCTCCCACAGGGCCCTTACAGGGCTGAGGCACCCAGCTACCCAGTGAGGCACCAGCCTGGGCTCTCAGAGCTCTTGCCCCTCCCACGCTGCCCGCATGTACCCGTCCTACCTATGGCGTAGCCTTCCGGACACTGCAGTTTGAGGTTGCTGTTAAGCTGGTTCGGGGCCGAGCACTGGCCTTGCATCTCCTGGCAGAGGTGGAAGGAGCCGCTCCAAGTTCCATCTTTCCGACAGTGGATGACATTGCTCCCCCGGCCCTGAAAACCATGGAAACACGGTCAGACCAAGAGCCACCACCCTCAATGGAAGCTTCTCAAGTAAAAAAGGAAACCAGAGCAATTTGTTAACGTGGTGGAACCGATCGCATTGGTCATACCTCCATTCTACAGACAGGGAAACTGAGGAGGGCTCAGTGTGGGCCCTTTCTGCAGACCCCTTCTCACGTCTGAACTGGCCAAAGCTGCTCAGAGGCCTAACTCCCAGGCTCCCTCATTCCTGACTCAGTGTCTCTACAGAGATTTCAATCAGAGGGATTTGTTTTGTTGGTTGTTTTTATTAACTGAGGAGGCAGGGGACCCAATGCACCCCAGCCCATACGGTGAGTGAGAGCCCGGGCCCGGGACTATTTATGAGGAGGCAAGGACACACCAGGGCTTGCTTCCTCTAAGCCAATGAGAGAGCACCTCATGCCAGGCCTCTGCCATCTGCTCACAGCACAGCCTGGGCCTTGCCGGGAAGCTTTTTCTTGCCCCTCTCTCCCTCCCTCCCTCCCTTCCTCTCTTCCTTCCTTCCTCATCATCCCATTCCATTCATTCCAGCAATGATGGTACCAAAAAGCTGGCATGGGGATACTTTCACCTGTGCCCTCCTTAGAGTCTTTAAAATAAACAATACTCGGTTCCTCAATCTTCTGCACCATGGAGGTGGATGCAGCTTGCAGACCCATGCCTTCCTGCAAACCCCTTTCCGCGTCTAAGGTTCTAATGGGAGTCCAGCCCTGTAGAAATCTCAGAACTGCCTCTGAATTCAAGAACCATTTCTTAGTGCCCATTCTGTGCCCAGCTCTGTGGGGTCCAAAAGCAAAGCAAGTCAGTATCTGGTCCCACTGAGCTGGGGAAGAAAAGACAGTCGTGTGAGCAGCCAGCCATGTCAGTGTGACTGTGCTTGGGTTGGGGACAGTCACTAGTTGTGCAAGGGTAATCAGGGAAGGTGTCATAGAGGAGGTGATATATAGAAATAGGGGAAGGTTGAGCTGGAAAGGCCAATAAGATGTGAGGCCTTAAATGTCAGCTTACGTTTGGACTCTACCTCTTGGAAACAGAGAACTGTGGGTGCTTTCTGCCCAGGGGTCCATCTGCCTGAGAATAAGCTGTGTTTCCTCTCCCTCTTTCAAGGTCACGAGGAGAGAAAATACATGAGGTAGAGGTGCTGACTGTGCCCACCAGGGTACCAACCTGTGGAACGGTCCATGTCCGTTCCCAGAGTGCCTCAGCCTTAATTCTGCCTCATTTTCCTGCTCCTTGCTCCCTGAAGCACCATCACCAACCTTGAACTTTAGTTTACCTCCTTTACTGTAAGCTGGATCACATGGCCATGCTCTGTATTCACAGCCTTTCTGTCTGCAGTTTCCTATCTCCTCCTGCCCTCAATCATCATCTGGCACAAGCCATTGTCCTAATGGCTCCTGATTCTGCAGAGCACACTGCCTTAAGATCTCTGACACGCATCGCCCCGCTGTCTATCATCAGTCCCCTCCTAGATGATGAGCTCCCTGCGGCCTAGGAAAGTGCCCTATTCACCTGTGCAGCCACAGGGCCTCTGCAAACTTGAATAGGTCCTGGCCATTCCGTTCATGCATTCATCACTTAATGGATATTTCTTCTATTCACTTAAGAACTGTTTGCTTAACAAAAGGTGGGGTGAATAGGTAGAGTTATGGAATGAAGTTGGCTATTAAATGAAGATAAATGAACACATGGATGAGGAAATCAATGAGTAGGTGAGTGAATGAAGAAATGAGGAGATGAATGAATGAGTGCATGCCAAGGAAACAAATAAACTCTGTGGAAGGGCTAATGCAGGCTAAAGCTCCCATCTGGGAAAACAGCTGCAAGGAGGCAAGATTCAGAAGAGAAAGTGGGGCCCTCTCTGGGCTTCTCCTGGCTCAGCATGAGGCGGGGCCAATGTCATTGGGAATCTCCGTGTCCATGGGTGAAGGGTGGCCCATCTCCAGCATGTAGCCGCAGACCGACTTGCATAGTCCACCCTGAGATGTTCTGTGTGAGCTCAGGGGAAGTTTAAGAGGCTTCCTGTAGTTACAGAGAACCCCAACTCTCCCTCACAGAGCCCCAGGCTCCAGGCCCCATGATTCTGCTGGGCCCCCATGGGAGTAGGAAATTGACCCCAATTTCCTGGAGCCTTGGCCCAAGGCTATGATGCACTTGGCCTCCAGCCCCTGCAGGGCTGCAGACCTCAGCACTAAATGGGCCAGAGCTGGCTGGGGAACTCAGTTTGCAACAGAGAATGTATCAGAACTCACTGGAATCTGTTCAGGGAATTTCAAACCGGGAAGGCTCCACCATAAAAGGCGGGAGCATGAAGGCACCGGTCTTGCTGCCTCCAGTCTTTTTCTCTGCCCAGCTCATCTGGCACTCTGTGTTGTTGACTAAATCTGCTTTAGGAAGACTCCTGCTGTGAAGACGCCTTCGCCTTCCACACCAGGCATGCTCCTAGGCTGGCAGTCCCTGGCTTCCACGGCGGAACCCACACAACAGATCCAGCCCCACCTCTTGCTAGTGCATGTCCTTCCTTCTGGCCTCCTGGTCACCTGGTCTCTCCAACACACTTTTCTTGCTCCCCACAACCACAGCTTTGATGCGCCCTCAGCACAGCACTCCTTGGAGACTCTCTGGATGTTCAAACCCTCCTCTAGGACTAGATCTCAGGGCACTCAGGGCTTGCCTACCACCTGAAGATCCTCGGAGTAGGTCCTTGATGTGAGTTGGACCACAGAAGACCTGACTGAGCATCCGATCTTGGAAGACCAGAGACCACTGAAGTACCTGGCTCTGAATGTACCATTTTTCACACTTAAGTTGAAATCCTTCTTAAGAGGATTGTGTCCCTCAGAAGTCTGCTTATCTGAGCCTGTGTATGTATCTGCAAGAAAAAGCATGTTGCATCCTGGCCAGTGTGGTTCAGTGATTACAGCATCAGCCCAGAGACTGGTCCTAGGTTTGATTCCTGGTCAAGGGCACGTACCTGGGTTGCAGGTCCATAGAGAGGAAGAGATAGAAGCATCAATAACGAGAGAGAATCAGATGGAGTCCGCAACCCGGGCATGTGCCCCTGACCAGGAATTGAACTGTGACCTCCTGGTTCATAGGTGGACACAAACCACTGAGCCATGCCGGCTGGGCAGCCTAAGTGAAGCTTTTAGAGCTTGGTACACACACCAGGCTTTCTAAAAGTAGCTAAGACTCTTAACCACTCTGCTATACTGTATCTAAGGGTACTTCAGAATCAACCAACCATCACCCATGTTTTAGAAATGCCAGCAGCAAGAATGGAGAGGCGACATGCCCAGTCCTATAGATGCCAATGCTGGGGCCAGGTCTCTTGACTGTAAGCCTCTGTGAATTTACCAGCATGGAGGGAAGGGAAGAAGGAGAAAGAGATGGAGAATTAAACTTCTTCTATTTAGCAGGAAAAAAAAATAATGGCAGAGAGAAATGTGGCTGCATCAGGGCAAGGTGGAACCAGGAAGTGCACTTTAGGATTGAAATATTATAGTTAAACTCTGGAGGCAGCCTGGCCAGCCCACAGAACCCCATTTCTGTCACATCCAGGCTGTGTAAAATCGGGCAAAGCACTTGACCTCATTGAACCCCAGACCAGGGACCTGGTCTGTGAAATGGGACAGCAATGCCAAATGCCATAGGACTTAAATTCAGCTGTCTCTGTGAAGTATTAGCCCAGCAACTGGCGTAGAGCAGATGCTCAATAATTGCAGCTGCTGTTAATTACTGGTCTCTGTTCCCAGTCATGTGCATTCACTTCCTGCAAGCTAGGTGCAGCGTGGGCAGGAAAACATGGCTTGTGTGATGACTTGGTTAGGAGATCTGAGACTTTAAGACCTGATTTAGCCCATGACCTGCCGCTGGGGGATTAGGCTAAGTTCCTTCTGCTCTCTGGGCTCCAGTGGTACCATTGCCATTGATAGAATAAGTGGATGGAGTGGGAGAAACTCTGAGATTCTGCCCTCTGCTCACATCACATGGGTGATTTTTGTGACTTCCTCTAGGAAGCCTGGGTGCATGGACAAGCCCTGGATGACCCTGAGACTGGGTGTGGCCCTTGCCTGCAGAGGCACTGTACCCGAGAGCTACGCTGTGTCCACAGCAGAACCCATCAAGGCAGCTGCACGCCCCTATTGGCAGAAAGGCTTCTACAGTCACCCTCTGTGATCCACAGGAGGAACCAAGGGCATGTGGATCCCACTCCCATGCTCCCTCTCTTGCCCCTGCTGAGTTGCTGAAACCCACCATTTAGTAATAACTTTGTACACAAAGTCCCTTCAGGCTTTTCCTCTCCTGCTCCAGCCTCTAGGTACCTCCACAGACCCCTGTCCCCACCCCAAGATGGCCCATCCCCCTAATCACCTACAAATAAGAACTGAGCCTGAATCCTCACCTTGGACAGCTCAGAGCACCTGTGCTGGATTAGTGCTGAGATAATCAGCACTTCTCACCAGTCCCCTGGGGACGAATGCATGGACCCTGCCTTTGCTACTAGCCTGCCCTGGCAACCTCTGGGCTGAGCATCAGTCAACACCACTACCTCTTGCAACCATAGGCAAGCACCGAGCCTCCTGAACCTTCCTTCCTCATCTGGCCAATGGGCATATTGTGTCTTTTAAAAAGGTTTAGAGTTGTCAAAATAAGAGAAATTCTGCAACACTGGTTCGGCATATGGGGAACACTTAACAATGAGAAAGCTGTTATTAGGAAGGTTCTTTGTCTTGGTTTACAAAGATTCATTCTAGGACAAACTGTCCAATAGGGTAGCCACTACACAAGTGTGGACTATTTATATTTAAATGTGAGCTGTGTAAAATTACATACGGCATCATATCTCAGTGCTCAATCACATTTCAGTGACCCACAGCCACACATGGCTAAGTGGCCACCATAGTGCCCAGCGCAGCTTTGAGCATTCACATCGCACAGTGTGACCAAGCAGCGCTGGTCTAGAGGATCCACATAGTCTACTGATTTACTGAGACAAAGGTCAGGTGTCCTTATGGTTCCAATGATCCTCTCCCCGACACACACACACACCCTGGCCTCATGCATGCTGACTTTCTGGGATAACTTTGCAGCCATTGCCTTGGTGTTTAGCTCCAGTAAGAGCCCACTTGGAGCATAGGGAATTCTCCTCACTAGATGTGACCTCACAGGTGGTCTGGTTCACTTATACCTTCCCCAGGGCTGCTGTGCAGGGGGCACAGGTGTGCTGCACCATTCCAGGGGGTACTCAGACATATGCTGCTTTCACGACCTCAGTTCATCCTCACAAAGAAACCACGAGGTAGGTGGTATTCTTACCACCATCCCACCGCTGTGTTGTATATGAGGAAACTGAAGCTTAAGGAGTTTAATAACTTGCCCAAGTCTTCCCGCTAGTAAAGTGGTGGAGCCAGGATCCAAACTCAGACACCAGGTCTACCATCATCTTGGCTCCCAATGAACCAATCGAGTGGAGGGTTTCCTTGTTAATTTGCTCTTGTGACAGTGGGAGGGCGAACACGCATCTCCCCTACGACAGCCCCTGTCCTCTCCACCAGGGTCTGAGCTCCTTTGGAAGGCCAAGAATTCCTGCTCGTACAAGCTATTGGGTTTAAGATGCTCTAGGCTAGGGGTGTCGAACTCAATCAGAGAAGGGGCCAAAATCTAAAATCCAGCCTAAATCACGGGCCGAATGGTTTACTGAACAGTCATAAACTGTCATTGTGATGGAAACGCAGCGGAGTGCAGTGATGACAGCGCGGTGCGGGCCACAGTGCAAGGCCTGGCGGGATGGATTTGGCCCGCGGGCCTTGTGTTTGACACATGTGCTCTAGGCCGTACGTTTCTGAGTGTTTACAGGCAGCAAGAGGGGATCTGAGGTGAATACTAGATTTGGCTCCCAGTCCCCGGGTCTGAGGGTAGAGGAAATTCATTTGCAGTACAAACTAGAAACGTCAATTGTATTAGGAGCCCATTTGGCAGGCGCTCCCTCATTCTTTGAGCTGACAAGCCATACCCTGCTCCTTTGCGTCTAGCCTCTCTGCTTGTTGCCAAAGTGAACTGCTTGAGTAGTCTGATACATTTACATTTCCCTCTCCTTTAAATGCAAACTGGCCATGAAAGGTACTTGGCAAGCCCCAGGCAGACTGGGTTTCAGTTTGATAACATGACCGCGGCCAGAATATTATTTGGCTCAGTAGTCGGGGTAACGGTTAGCAACAGTTTTATGTAAGGGAGTGAGAGGGAAGTTGATCAGCCTGCGTGAGGCCGTGGTAATCTCTGGCCTTAGCTTGTGCCAGCCCCGGCTTCTGCTTCCCTGGAAATCAAGGATGGGAAGGACTCGGGCACACACATATCCCTCAGTGGACACTAGCAAGGATTTTCAGGGAGTGCCTATTGAATTCAGTCTGTCCACAGTTGGGGGGACCTGGGTTCTGATTCTCACTCCACTGGCCCCTGCTGGATCACCTTGGGTGGTTGAGAGATTTCTCTGAGTCTTAGTTTTCTGAACTGGAAAATGAGGTGGTTGACCTGGATGTTCCCTGCCCTGTCATTTCCCAAGCCCCTACTAGGTGCCTTGGCACTGTCCCAAGTGCTGAAAACATTTCCCAGTGGGGGTGGAGGTGGGGTGGGGAGGTAAGGTGCGGCATAACATGGATTTCAGTGAAGTGTGTCCAATGCTGTGAAGGAGGACCCTGAGAATGTCACTGAGCCCAGCACTGCGAGGGACATCAAGGCAGGGTCCCTGGAGGAAGGGGTCCTGAGCTAAATTGTCAAGGGTGGTTAGTGAAACAGCTGGAAAGGGTGAGAGATGGCAGAGGGGAGATCATTCTTTCTGGTGATAGAGGAAAGGTCTTGAATGCCACCCTGAGGAATTGGGGTTTAATCCTGAGGGAAATGGGAGTTGCTGGTTCATAAGCCGTTAAGCAGGGGAGCCGTCATGATCAGATTTATGCTCCAAACAAACCACTCTGGCGAAACGTGGATAGCACAGTGGAGAGAGGCCAGAGCATAGGTGCAGGGAGGTAACCAGGGACTTCCTGGTGGCCCAGAAAAGTAATGGTGGTGGCCTACATTAGGATGAGGATTTAGGATGTCTTGGAGGGAGGATGGATTGGGCTTGGTAATGGCTTGGCGGAGCGGAGGGTGGTGGTTTGGTAGTGCCTGGTATTTGGTGGCCAACAATAAGACTTGTGAGGACTGGCTGGAGGTGGAACCTGCACTGGGCCCAGGTGGCAGGACACTGGCCTCACCTGGATGAATACCCTTGCATGACTGGGAGACACGGGGCTTGGGGTTCACCCTATCAGGTTGGGTCTGTGAAAGTGGAGTTCCTTATAGACTTTGGTCTTCTTTGGAGATAGCTTGGCCTCTCATTTCTTTCCCATTCTTGACTCCCTACCTGAGAGGTATAAGGGGGGTATGTGTAAGGATTAAGGACAGTTAATTCACAGAACTCCAGCAGAGGTCGGCAGATTACTGGGCTGCCTCTAGGTTATAAGGCGACTAAGATAAAATTAAATCTCTGCCATCTCCTTCTTTTCTTTTTTTCAACAGTTTTCTCAAAACTGTATCTTTAGTCTAAATATAGTTCCCTTTCTCTTTATGCTTGAAGAGTCTTCTGACTTTAAATACTTAAGTGATCGATGCCATGATGATGGTGGCAGATAGTTGGCCAAATGGCCTTGGTCACTCCTATTAGAGTCACTTAACTTTGATCAAATTCATATGCTGGGATTGCATTTATGATTTCTTTCATCAGGGTTCCAACACTAAAGTATTTTCAGAGCTAAGGATCTCAGAACAAATACAATATGGTGTTACAGAGAAGAGAACGAGGCTCAGAAAGGTTACAAAGAGCATTAGAATCCAATTGCTTAACCTCTGCACTGGTGAGCTGCTACTGCACAAACCTGGCATCTGGAGAGTCCCTGGAGGAAGTGGTTCTTGAACTGTAGGCTGGTCTTGGGTAAGCAGACAGGAGGTGGACCTGAGTATTGATCTCAAGGTCAAGGAGTCTTACCTGGGCGGCATCACTGTCTTCACACTTGATCCTGCACTCGCTGTTGAACTGGAAGCCGTCTGTGCACTGGTAGAGCCCGTGGAACTTTGGTGGAGGCGGGTCACACGTCACAGGAACACAGGCTCCCTCCTGCCAGCTGCCGTCTTGGGTGCACTGAATCTTGAAGGCACGTCTTCAGGGAAGAGATAAAAGAGGCATCTCAAGGAACAAATTGTGAGAGCCATGCTCTACCCAAACTCCCAAGTGTCTCTGAGGCCAGCTGCATTTCCACTCCTGGTTCCCTACCTCTCCTATGGGGTTGAGAGGGGGCATGTATAGGGATTAAGGAAAATTCATCCATGGAACTCCTTTAACAGGGACGAGCACGAGTTTCAGATTTTGTCATAGATACATATAAATTGAAATAAAATCCAAGCTCTGGCTGGGTGGCTTAATTGCTTGGCACATTGTCTCTTGCACCAAAAGATCATGGGTTCAATTCCCACTCAGGGTACATGTGTAGGTTGTGGGTTTGATCCCCATTGGGGCACATATGAGAGGTAACTGGTCAATGTTTTTCAAATGAGAAAAGCATATCAACTGGTGAGAATTAAAAAAATTAAAATTAGTTTAAAAAAAAAGGAAAAAGACAATCCAAGCCTTACTCGTCCCCATCTCCCTTCCCGAGTGCTCTGATTGGTGCGGACACTGATGATATTAACACCCACCATTTATTGAACAATTACTATGTGTCAGGCACATGGCAAGCACTTTATATACACATCCTCATTTATTCTTCACACCATCCTACTGGGAACTCTTTATTATAGCCTTCATCTTCTTTTTGAAAAATAGAGGCCCAAAGAAGGGAAGTCACTTGCATGAGGTTACACAGCCAGTAGGCAGATATTCAAAACATCTTTCAAGATTCCCATAACACAGAATGGGTTTTGCCTCCAGCAAAGAAAGGAACCCTTGCTTCTAATCAGACAGCCAGATCCAGCTGTCTAATCAGACAGTCTCCCCAGAACCTGCCCCACTTACTTCTTTGACTTCCGAGAAGCGCCTGGCACGTGGTATCCAGGCTTGCACTTGTACTTGCAGAAAGAGCCCACCTTGTGCTTGTTCTCTCGGCACCTGGTGGTCTGCAGGTCTGCATTGGGCACCGAGGGTGGAGCCAGACACATGAGCTCGCACAGGGCCTCGGGGAAGGACCAGAGCCCGTCCTCCATACAGGTCAGGACGCTGTTGTTGCCTGGAAACGACAGACAGGCAGGGTTAGCCGATGGGGGTCTGGCAGTCAAGCTCATTCACAGGCTGCCTGGACTTATGCCAACCTAACGAACCAGAGGGTCTTCCTCGTGTAATGCCAGACCCTTACACTTACACCCAGGAACCTTGGGAGATGGAGAGAGCCGCTCAGAAGGAGGAGCCCGGCTTGGGGGGGGTGACTTATCCATGTCCACTGTGAATTAGGATTCAAGGCTCCTGGACGTTTTTACTGCACAGGAAAGAGACCCCCATCCTTGCTTTGCCAGGTGGATCGCTGAGCCCAGGGTTGGAAGGCCTTGCCTCCTAATAACTGGCAGAGTAAGCTCCTGCCGAGACTACTGAGGGCTCTGACCCAGTGTGCCGCATGGCCTCCAGCTGTGGCTCCACACCGGGCTCTGAGCCCTCTGTTCATCCCGCTCCCCTTGTGCCTGGAAGTGACAGCATCGTGGTATCTGAAGGTCTCACTTTCTCTGTCCCCAATGTTCCTGACATCCTGCCAAGCAGCCGGGAGAACAGCACGCCCCCTGCAGCCCGTGCCAGCTCTGACCGATGTGCTGACGGCCATCCAGAACCTGGTCGGACGGGGACTTTGTAAATAAAAGTGAAACCCGGGGAGTCCGGTATCTCCCTGCCAGGTCGTATATTATCAGCACAGCCTGCCCCAAGCCTCCCCAGGACAATTAGAGATGGACCCAGAACTTGGTTTCTCAATCACACTTTCCTCTTCAGGGGCATTACTGAACAGTGTTGACAGCAGGGCTGGGAGCACAGAGGCTCTGGGATTTGGAGGTCAGAAGGTCTGATCTGAAGGGGGTAGGGAGGGAATGATAGGGGCTGAGCTGATGGTTACTACATGCCGATTGCTTGCTGATGTGCAATCTCCTGTGTTCTCACAGCACTGCTCTAGTCTGACGCGACTCTGGGAGGGAAGTGACCTAAGTTCTCACAGTTAGTGAAACTGACCTTCAAAACCAATGTTGTGTCACTACAAGAAGGTTATTGTATTTAATGGGAAGCTGGCCCTATATGCTCAGCAGAGCCCTTATTAGCTATTCTGAGAGGCAAACCCCAATATCCCATCTACAGAAAGAAAACAATTACTCCTGCCTTTCCTGGTGATAAGAAGATACAATGAAACAATATTTATGAAAAGTGTCCAGAAAATGGTGTCAAGCTCCTTATTCTCTCCCTCCCTCCCTCCTTCCATCTCCTCCTTCCTAACCCTTTGCCTGCATCATTAGGTCTGAAAGGACTCTGTGAATTGCACAGAAGCTTTCATTTATTCAACAAGCATCTACATAGCGCTCACTATATGCCAGCTACCAACAGAGCAGTGGACAAAACTTTAAAAAGAAGCCTCAAACCCTGCCCTCTGGGAGCTTATATTCTCCTTGGATAGAGGAACACTAAGTTATACTAGGAAGAAACATTTCTGGTGTGCTGAAAGGCAGTGGGCACTATGGAGAGAGAGAAAGTAGGGAGAAGGAGGAAGAGAGAATCATGTGCAATTGTATGTAAGCTCCTCTGCTCCGCTCCTTCCTGTCATTGTCAGTGTGAATCATCTGGCGAGCACAGATAATTTAGTATCTGTAAACCCCAGAGGACCCCGCGTTGATAAACTGTGATGCTGCAAAAACAAACCACAGCTATTCCTACATCAACTAAAAGGCATGAGGGCTGTGGGAGGAGGAGTCATTGGGCTTCCTGCATTGCCTCTGTGCTTTGGGCAGTGGTGTGAGGTGCCAATGCATAGCAAAAGCTTGGAGGAAGCGGCATTATCAAAGATCTGCAGAGAGTACCCTCTCTATATTGCCCACGAAGGATAAAATATCTGTGAAGGAAGTGTTTGGACTCTTAAGAGTATCCTACATCTGCTATGCAAATCAAAATTGTGAAATGGACAATGTGGTTCCTTTGTGGCCAAGATAGCACAAAACTTTGCAAAATGTTAATCAAGAAGAGAAAAAATGCAAACCAGGAATGTGAATTCTGGGACAGGGTAAACAGGTGTTAATCCTGCACCATAGTCAGAGGAAGAAGCACACTAATGCAGAAGCTGGTGATTCAGGACCATGGACATGCCCCCACCCACATCAAACACAACCCGGAGGGGCAGACATAGACACGGAACTGTGCATGGGTGTTTCCATTGGCAGCTGTGGCTGCTCCTGTGCATGTGGCTTTAAAAATATATATATATATATATTATTGATTTTTTACAGAGAGGAAGGGAGAGTAAGAAACATTGATGAGAAAGAAACATTGATCAGCTGCCTCCTGCACAACTTCTACTGGGGATGTGCTTGCAATCAAGGTACATGCCCTTGACCAGAATTGAACCTGGAACCCTTCAGTCACAGGCTGATGCTCTATCCACTGAGCCAAACCGGCTAGGGCATGTGTGGCTTTGAAAAAAGTAGGATATGACACAGGCTGCACATGCCCTGCCGGAATCCCTGGGCCCTGAACTCTCTACTCTGAAGGGTGTTTACTGTCCCTGAAACTTTACTACCTATGCAGAGGCCCTTTCTCACAGGCATGGATGGGTGTTCTGCCTGCTCACAGGGCAAGTTCACAGACCTACCGTGTCAACGACCCTGTAAGTAGCATTCAACCAGGGATGGAGGTGGTGGATTCACAGGCTGCTTTCCAGAGCTGCAGAGGGCATAGTCTACCTCGCTCCTCAATAGGATGAGCTCTGGCTGCCAATAGCAGTAACTGGCTTCAGAAGAGAACCCTGATGCTTCCCTCACTTCTACGCCTCCCTTTCTCCTTCCCCTGTCTGAGATCCCTTGGGCAACACTAGCTGAAGGCCATTGCGTGAAGGACACTGGGTGAAGCCTGGCATTCCCTGTGGAGGGAAGAGTGCTGATGTCAGAGATTGGCTTCCAAACAGCTGTGTGACCCTGACCTTCCTTTGTTCATCATTTAAAGTCAAGAGGGTATAAATTTGCTTGGCCTATCTACAAATCTGCCTGACGAAATTTCAATCTCTAATGAGTATTAAAGTCATTATAAACATGGTGTCAAAAGCAATGTGTTTTTATTATTTTAGTTAAAAAGAATATGTGGAAGACCAAATCTCTTTGGAAGTGCCTTTGAGATTAAAAGTAACCTAGAGCAGAATCCAGGAGGGAGGGGCTGGGAGATGCAAGGTCAGGTTCTTTGTACCATACATGGTGTTGGTACTTCCCAAATCCTAAGGACAGGGAATACACCCTCTTCATTCTTTTATTTCTGGAACATAGCTAGTGCCAAGCACACAGTAGGTATTCAATCTCTATTTGTTAAGTGCATGTTTATGAATCTACCTGTGACCTTGAACTAGTCAACTAACCTCTTTGAATTCTTACTCAGCTCTAACATTTTAGGATGTTAAAGGCCATATACTGGCCACTGTATTGTTTTGAGAAAACAAAACTGCAGCTAGTGAGGACAAATAAACATGCAAGTGGCTGTGTTAGCCAAAGGCCAGTGCTGGTGGCATTGGGAAGAGATTGTTTTATTTTTCTTGGTAAGAAACAGACGTCACAGTAGAACCAGCGGAAGAAGGACAAAGAAGACAGTCGTGGTTGGACCTATGACACCCTCAACTCTGCTCTCTTCAAAATACTAAGGTGATAAAAGGAAACATTATCTTAGGAAGTGTAGAAAAGTTCCTCTTAAGAGATGGCCTGGATTGTAGGAAGGTGCCAGATGAGAACCATGGGATAAAGCCAAATCCTCCAGAGCCTGGCTATCTATTTCAGAAAAAGATGGAAGGGTCTTTGCCCGAGAGAGGAGAGAGAATTTGGAACTCTTAGAGGGAGGGAAGCTGTGGCAGGATTGTGAAGGGAGAGGATAAGGGGTGGAGCAAAGAACTGAGAGCAGGTGAGAAGGTTAATTGCTGGGCATTGTAGGATTTGGCCAGTCTCCCTGTCCAACCAGCTCAGTCCCATCAAGGTGCTAAATGGTATCATGGAGTATCTTAGAGAAACTGGTGGATAGACCGAGTTTTAAATCTAAGGTAAAGAGGTAAAACTGGGATAGAAAAGGCGACAAAAGCCAGAACAGAAAGCACGTCTTCTAAAAAGAGCTTTGCACAAATTCCTCCCTCCCTATGTTTTCCATCTTCCCAATCATTAGTTATTCCATGAGCTCAAAAAGCCTTTTTAATCCTAGGATACCCAGGCTCTCACTCCTTCCCAAATGTGTCCTCTTCTTCAGGTTGCCTGATGATGTCTTATCCACATACTCACACCTACAGCCCAGCCCAGGAGAGGCCAGGGATCGCCGCCTCCTGTACCCTCTCATCTCCCCAGCTGGCCTTTCCTGAGGGTGGCAGTTGGCTCTGGAGAAAGATGAGACCAATGTGAATCTCACCATGAATGAGGTGGCCTTGGACAATTTCCTCCTCTGTGACAACGGGAATAATTATAATACTTACCTCTTAGGCTTACTGGGCCCTAACCATATCCAGAGCACTAGTCACATCCCTTCCAAATGTTACTCTCTTAACGCACCCTACCTTTTTCCCTCTCTCCCTTTTTATAAAACTTGTAAGATCTTGGAGGGGATTCCATTGCCATGCTTGTCCACACCTTGATTTTCCCTTAACTGCCCACAGGGACGTGTATATCAGTGCACTTTGAGGCGAGAAATCGGGAGACGGATAAAATCCACCCTGATGTGTCAGACCCAGGAGGGGAGCCTGGAAGTGGCTCTGGGCTTCCCACACAGGCGGCAGGGCGAGCCCAGCCAGAGGGCCCTCCGTACCTTTCAACTGTGCTGGGTGGCGACACTGGAAGGAGCATTTGCTGCCAAAGGTGGTGCCCTCGAGACAGGAGAAGGAGGCAGCGTAGACGTGATGTTGGTCCGGGACGCCACAGTCCACGGGCTCACACGCCACCTGCTTGTTCCACTTGCCCTCGGTGCAGGTCACTGTGACGCTGGGTCTCTTCTGGAAGGCAGAGGCGGACACAGTGAGTGGCGGCTGAGGGTATCCCAGGTATGGGGACACACCCTTCTCCCCAGGCAACAGCTCAGAGCCTTGTCAATCACCCCATGTTTACTGAGCATCTACTATGTAGCAGCACTATTTTAAATGCAGGAGACCCAGCAGAGAGCGTCTTTAGCACCCAGTCAGCCTCTCCAGATGGAGAGGAGCTGCGGGCCCAGTGCCTGCACACACCTGGCTCTTGATCAGTTCGTCGTCCCTCCGTATCTGGAGCATGTAGCCTGTCCGGCAGCTCACAGTGCACTGGGCACCGTGATAGCGATCACTGCTGGAGCAGTTGAGAGCAGCGTTCTCCACAACCAGCTCCGGACAGTCGGTGGCCTCACATGCGAAGTGCACACAGCTGGAGAGGGAAGAAACCAGAAGGTCAGAGGGAGCTTCCCTGTGGGACCTGGGCACTGCAGCTGCAAGATAAGGGCTCATAGCCTCCTTCTCTAAAATGTCAAGAGGCTGAGCCTGACTGTGGAGAGGAGGTGATGGAGGGAAGGAGCTGGCCTAGGTGAGGAAGACTTTGGAAGCAGTGGTCACATATGGAAACAGACAAACCAGGGTTCAAATCCTTGAGAGCTTTATTATGCTTCCAATCATGCAGAGCCTCAGTTTTCCCATCTAGGAAATGGGGATCATTTCAGTATAGCAAGTATTTACTGTGTTTATCTGCCAGACACCAAGTTGAACGGAAGCCTCTCTGCATCTTACTAGAGGCCTGATGCATGAAAATTCATGCACTGAAGGGGGGGGTCCCTCAGCTCAGCCTGCCCCTTCTTACAGTCTGGGAGCCCTCAGGGCAGGAGGCAACCAGGTGATCAGGGGAAGGCAATGCCCCCATCACATATCTGCTGCTGCCACTGCTGGCAGCGCAAGCCTCAGCTGGCCCTGGTTACCTGATCCTCGGGTGGCCCTGGGCGGCTGTGAAGCTGCCATCAAGGCTTGCCTGTACCTCGGGCCAGCCTTGGGTGGTTGGGGGCTGAGGGTGGGTCCGGCCGCACCAAGCACCTGTCACCATGCGGTGAGGCTGAAAGAACTGGGGCACTCCAGCAGAGTTGAGGGGACTGGGTGCTGCCCTCTTTGTGACAGTGATGGTCAATTTGCATATTCCCTCTTTATTAGGATGGTAATACTGACTCCCAAGGGTAGTTGTAAGAACTAGATTCTATGGTTCAGGGTGACTACTCACCACCACACTCCCTCCCCTGCTCAGAAGAGTGGTGAGAAAAAAGTGGGGTGTGGGAGGGAAGAAAGTAAAGTCTCCAAAGAACATGACCAGAATTCATCTCTTTTGTTCAAATTCACTTTTTGAAACACCTGGGGAAGGGCAAGCATCTGACTTAGGTGTCTGTCAGTCCCCACACTAACGTGGGCTCTGCACTCTCCACAGAACCCCCCTAGGAAAAAACTGGAAAGATTGGCAGGGCTAGTGGGGTTCCTGAAACTTGCTGACAGGTTCGACTCTCCGCCCTCTTCCCTGCTACTGGCAGCCTCGGCCTTGTGCCACGAGGAGACCTGGAAAAACCTGGAACTGTGAAGTCAACACAAGGGCTTCAACACCAAACAGTGCATCTGCTCGCATTGTGTAAGGGCTGGGGAAAGAGCCACGTGGCTCCAGTTCAATTATATACATTCACTCAGGGAGCAACCAGCTTCCAAGCGGGGCTTCCACCTCCGCCTCACATATCGCGCTCTCTCTGCACTCCTAGCACTTCCCTGGCTCCCGTCAGATGACTGATGGCCCGGGGCTGCTGGGAGCCCTGTTGAGAGACAAAGGCTTATCTGGGTTGTGGGGCCATTAAGGAACCAGCGGCACCCTCCTCAATCCCGGGCACATTAATATTCTTTGCAAGAAAAGAATAAGATGGAAAACTTGATTTTCTAGAATAAAGGAGTACAGGGTTTAGCAAGTGGGCACATGGGCAAATCTGGGCTCTTTTGATCAGTTGTCTGTCCTTGGAAAGGTCATAACACCCACTGAGCCTCAATTTCCTCCTCTGTAAAATGGAGTTCATAAAATGTTTTCTTTCTCAAGATTGTCAGCAGGGTGACCTGTGAGCCATTCATTCATCTATGCAGCAGACCCGCCCAGACACTGTTCCGCATGGAGAGACAGCAATGGAGGAGACAGGCCAGGCTCCTGTCACCTGGGTGTCTCAGAAGGAGACCATGTGTCAAAGAACAGTAATACACAAACCTGTTGTAGACGGTGATGCCTGCAGTAAAGGTCCCTGAAAAAAGGCAAAATTATAGAGGGTGACTATGGTGGTGGGAGGGGGAGGACAGGGCAGGGCACTTTGTATAGAGGGGTCAAGGGCAGCCTGCATGAGGAGCGAACATCTGAACTAAGACCTGGGTGGACTGAAGGGATCAGCCACACACAGGGTTGGGACAGAGGAATCCCAGGCAGAGGAGAGGGTCTGTGCCAAGGTCCAGGATAGGGTGGAGCTCATCATGTGGTCGAATAAAAAGGCCAATGCATGGAAATGCTTTGGAAACTGCGGCTCCCTGAGAAAGTGGTTTCTGTACTCGGGCTCTTTCTGCTCTAGAAGGAAAACAGTCGCTGAGGTGCTCGGCCACAGAGGTTCCGTGGTCAGATGAGAAAGGTGGCATTGTATTAAGGAGACCAGGTTGCTTTGTTCATTGCAGGCCTTCTCAGAACCTTGAATGTTCTTAAATCACACTGTGGGTTTCCAGGAGGGGCGAAGGTGCGCACCACTTTCCAAACGCTGATTACCTTTCTTCATGGGACATGCTGTAGGACTAGTGTCTTCCAGAACATGCTCGGGGGTGAGGCAGCCCCCCTTTTTCAGCATATCTGTCTGCAACTGGTTTGTAGGCTTGAAGAAGGGAGAAAAGGGGAAGAGAAGTAATATGCACTAGGAATCAGCCTCTGTGTTTCATCGACATCATCTTGTTTGCATTCTCACGGTGACTCCTTGAGGTGGTATTTTCATTCTATCTTCAAGAAGAGGGGAGTGAAGAGAATTTAAATTGCTCGTCCAAACGTACTCTGTGTAGATAGGATTCATGTGGATCTGTCTGTCCCCAAAGCCCCTGACCCTCCCTCTTTCCAGTGAGCTGGAAAGGGTTATGGGAACACATTGCCCAAAAATGACAAACATGACCCCAACTGTCCCTCCCAAATAATTTACTCCACGACACAGCCTGTCATTTCTGAAACACAAAAACAAAAATTAAAACAAGGGAAACAAAACAAAAGGAAAGCCTCTGGCTTCATTAAAAAAAAAAAAAATTAAAAAAATGGGCGAACAATTTAATACCCATGATGAATGGTCAATAAAAATAATTTAAAAAGAAAAAAGAAAGACACTTCCCAGAAGGGAGGAATGTGGTGGTTGGGAGGGGTGGGGAAGGAGCACTGGTAATATATGGATGAAATGCTCACATCTGGGAAAAGTGGGGGAACTACCCCTGGTCCCAGATGCAGAGAGAATCAGATACTTATGAGTTTTCTTATCTATATTCTCACTCGTTTATTTATAGACTCAAGTTCCATGTGGAGGTTAAACCTTAGGTGATCTCACAGCCAAGCCCCCAGCTGCTGCCCCCACCACCACTTGAAAGGGCTCCGATTAGCATAACAGGGGACACTTGGGTCTCCAGGGGACACTTGGGTCTCCTGCAGCCAGGACAGAAGTTAAAGGGTGGCGAGGGCTCCTCTCCTGGCTCGGTGCCCTTAAGTCCTGGCTTGACCCCTGTGCCCTGCCACTTAGCTGCAATCATGCCATGGGGAGGTTATGGAAGATAATAACAGCAGGTTGTTTATAGAGCATTATGGGTTGCTCATATGGGGACAGCAAAACAAAAACAAAGCAAAGCAAAACAAACAACACAACAGCATGCTCGACCCTGGAGGAAGTGAAGGGAGAGGCTCTGGGCACCACGGCTGCAGGGGCATGTGGGCCGCGAGACTGAGAGACTGATGCAGCTCCCGTGGCAGGAGGCTGAGGGCCAGATCCTGAAATTCTGGAAGCCAGTGATGTGGTGGGACAGAGCAGAGATTCTGTGTGGACAAGGTGAGTTGGTGTGCCTAGTGGAGGGCACACGCCGGCCGAGGCAGCTGTTCACTCTGGTCCCAGGCTGCCTGAGGGACCGAGGCCTGTGCCTAGCTAATGGCTGGAGGGACAGCAGTGTTAAAACCTCTGAGGAAGGGGAAAGATCTCTGTCCTGGATCCAGAAAACTGGATTCAAATGCCAGTTCTGCCCCAGCTGTCTGGGTGACTTTGGGTCACTCACTTCTCTTGCCTGGACCGTAGGTGTCCCATTCTCAGATGAGAGAGCAGAACCAGGGAAGCTCTTAGAGTTCCAGCTGTCAGGGGTCACAGTTTTATGAGGGAAAAACAACAGAGGTGTGTCACTGCGAAGCCCTTGGAAGGGGAGAGTAGACTTGATCTCAGAGATTGACAAGGACTTGGATTAGAAGAGCAGGATCTGATGGACACTAATGGGTGAAGCTGGACAGCATTCCAGAGAAGTCAAGGAGTCCCCAGCACAGGGGGGATGCACACACATCGGGCACTGCACTTCCGTGTGCAGGGGTATCCCTCAGACCAGCAACCCGGCAGGTGTTCAGAGAGGTGCTGAGAAGTTGGTTGAGCCTTTGGACAGCAACCTGAGGCCTGTGGTCTCCACATGGGCAGCTTCATTCCGGGCTCCGAATTTTACATATGAATTCCTACACATCCCCCTGGGAGGACATTTCCCACATGCGCTCCTATCCGCGCACAGCTCCGAGGAACTCTGGGCTCCAGCTTGTGGGCGACCACCACCCGCTCCGACCGCCAATCCACCCTGGATGGAAGGAGCTCATATGAATGCAGGAAAAATGCCTTTCCTTTTGAAGCTGACCTTCTGAAAGTTAGTTCTCTCTCCAACTGCCTCTCCCCAATGGGCTGGCATGGAGACTGTGGGAAGTTTTAGGTAGAGAAGGAAAATGCAAAAAAAAAAAAAAAAGGGAGGGGGGGGAGAAGAATGGAAGGAATGAAGGAAAATGGAAGAGAGGGAGGGAAGGAGGTAGGCAGAGATGGAGAAGAGAAAGGAGGGAGGGAAGAAAGTTATTTGTCTACATAGATGACCCACTGAATTTTATAATAAACTGCTCAATCTCTATTTAGCACCATAAGATAGATAGAGGCAGTGTGTGTGTGTGTGTGTGTGTGTGTGTGTGTGTGTGTGAGAGAGAGAGAGAGAGAGAGAGAGAGAGAGAGAGAGAGAGAGAGAGAGAGAAACACACAGGAGCTTGAATTCATGATTGTTGCTTTTCTCATGGAAAAAGCCTCTTAACTCTCCCACCACGATTGCTATGCAACCTCCCATCTTTCCCCCTTCCCATAACTCTGTGTGGAGCCAGGATTTGGCCAGAATTCCACAACTGGACCTCTCATTTGAAACACAATCCTGTTTCCTTGGACCCTGTGTTTATTCCTAGGACTGCAGGGGGACTGGGGACGACCCGGAGTATCAGTCAGAACACAGCACCTGAATCGATGTGGAGTATGATGCTGCTCATGGCAGCCCACTAGGTATCACGCTGCTCTCAAAGGAAGAGAAAGCAAATGAGGAGGGAAAGAGGGGAGAGGAGAGGAGGGAGGGAGATGGAGAGGAGGGGGGCAAGGAGAGAAAGCAAGAAAGAATAAATGGGGAGGGAGAAGGGGGAGGGACGGTAGGGATGGATGTGGGAAGAGGAGGGGAGGGGAGGAGATGGGGGAGTAGAAACAGCACCTTTCACTCCCTGGGGAGGGCCTGGAGTGAAGTGGGATGTGTCGACCACAAGCTGAAATCTATAAAAACTGATGCTGTTTACCTTGGTGCTTTGAGAATGCAGTTAACCACCCCGTGGCTTTTTCCAGTTGTTGCTTATTTTTCTTTTCTTTCCTCCTCGTTTTGTTTGTTTGAACACATTTGCACATTTACACAGTCCTGCCTGTCCTCCCCCACCCCAGCCCGGCATTCAGGAGGGCCCTGCATCCCCAAGGCCTCAGACCTGGGCACTTTGCCTGCCCCAGCCAGGTCCCAACCCGGGCCCAGCCCACAGAGGCCTCAGAGCTGTGTCCTCAGCACTTGACTGGCTCACTGACTAAATGGTCGCAGGTGAGCAGCTGTGAAAAGTCCTCTTCTCTCCCAGACAGATGTTCCTGGCTCCGGTGGGCAGAGCATGGTTTTTAGAGGCAGGCAAAGCAGGGTTTGGCCTCTGACTGCCTGGATGGCCTTGACTCCCTCACTGCGTCCACACCTCCCAGAACAGAGGTAATAATGAAATAAGATACTATTAATATAATCATCAATGTCGGTCCCTTCCTCTTCCCTCTCCTCACTCCCAGCTCTTGGGAACCACAGACTTTTAGAACTGGAAAGAACCACAGAGAACATCCAACCCATTTTCATTTGGCAGACATGGAAACGGAGGCCTAGAGAGAAGGGGTGACTGGGTGAGGGTCACATAACCAGACAGAGGCAGAACATGTCCCAGGTCCATGTTCCTCCACAAGTCAGAGGATCCAACAGGCACTTATCAGCTGACTAGTTTCTCAGGTTAAACTCTCCCTGCTGTTTACTTGGGGCACAGGACCTGCCAACTAAGAACTCCAAGTCCTCGGTGCCGGCCTCCGTGCACTTGCGGACGGATCGGTGTCTGGGTGACGACGGAAAGCATTGTGGCAGAGTGGATGGATTTGCATTTTCCATCCACAATGTTTCTCTGGGTTCTGAGAATTAACTTATTTTTATAGTCCGGGGAGCCGGGGAGGACAAAGCCCTCTCAGGGTGAAATGTAACAATGAGTGATATTTAAGGAGCTCTTTGGCCTCCAAAGGATTGCAACAGACTTTGCACAATAGAGGACAGAGACAGTGGGTGCAGAGTAATGTGGGTGTTGCAACCACCTTTTGTGTCCTCTGCAGCAGCAGGGCCGTGGGAAAGGCCCAGGTCGCCCTCCCACCCCTAGTTCTGCTCCTCGCTCCCAGGTACACCCGGCAGGGCTGCCTCGCCCTTCAGAGGGCCTCACTCTGGGAGAGCCTACTGAGACCCCAACTCCTTCTCCTGCTGGATCTCATTAAACAAACATGAGTGATGCTGTGTGATTCTAGACCAGTCTTTCCCCTCTTGGGGCCCTGGGATTCTAGACAGTACAGAATTGGGGACACCTCTGCATGCTAGATCATCTCTGAGGCTTCTTCCGCCCTCCTCTGAGGATTCTATGCAGGATTCTGGGCTGAAAAGCACCACTCTCACAGGAAGATAAATGTCCTTTACTAACGCATTAGCTTTGCACAGTGCCTAGCCATATGCAAGAACACCTTTACCTACAGCACACTGTTTAACTCTCACGACCACCCTATGGGGTAGATGTTATCACCCATTTACTCCAAAACAGAACACTGTGACTTAGAAAAGTAAAGCAACTTGTATGAGGACACACAGTCAGGAAGGGATAGATTCAGATCCAGTAAGATCACCAAAAGATGTCCAGGAAACACCTTCCCCTCTTAGCCCTAAACCAAGTTCAAGAATAGATGCCAAGTCAAAGGCACCAAGGGGATGATGTTATGCAGCTCAAAGACAGGCTCCTAGACCAGGGGGGGTGAGGGGGCGAAGGTGCAGGGGGAGGGGGAATCTCAGGAGCTGGGCTTAGAGAAGATAGAGATTTCACCCATCACTGAAAATACGCAGCGAACTGGGATGAGACAAATAACAGTCCTCCTCTCTCCTCCTAAATTTCAGAGTTATGCTTCCCATCTGCGCCACTCAGGAAGCAGGATATTCCAGCACTTCAGAGCTGAAGGCCAGCGGACCCACCACCCTCTCTCTGTTCAAATGAGGATGCTGAGGCCCAGAGAGAGAAAGCAATGTCCCAGGGTCCCCCTGCAAGCCACTGGGATAAATGCCAGCAAAAGAGGCCCTTTTTCCACCACTCAGCCCTGCAGACCTCCCCACCCCTGGACGGCAGGCCCAGAGGCAGTGCTGCCCAGAGCCCAGGAGATGGAGGAGGAGGTGCCCAGATATTTTTATGACAATTCACATGACCACCACATTCCAGAATTCCTCCATCTCCACTTGGCTACTCAATGGCGGGGTGGGCAGACCCGGGTGCCTTACCTCTGTTCTGCAGAGCTGTAGGTCTCCCCTCTCTGGCAGCTGCTCAGGGTGACGGGGTCAAAGCCGTCGAAGGAGCGGAGGGCCACCCCCGAGATGGCGAGCAGGGGTGAGCTGAAGCTCACTCGCACAGCCTGGCTGTGGTAGAAGGGCTGGCTGAGGTCATGGACCACAGGGATAATCAGGGGATTGTTCCTGCAGCTCAGGACGTGGAGGCCTGTCAGGGGAGACAGAGGGCCGGGGGGCCAGGCTCATTACTCAAGGCCAGTCACGCCCTTCCCAACCGGCCCTTCCCCAAGCCCCCAGACCCTTTCATGTCCCTGCACAAAAGCACCATTGGGTGGCCGGTGGGGATTTTGAGTTTGATTGAAAGTTTCTTTGTCTGCCTTTTTCTCTTGGTTCCAAATCTTTCCAACCCCCTTGTCTCCCTGCCCCCTAAGCCTTCCCCTCACCTAGTGCCCATGGCCCTCTCCTCCCCCAAAGGGCCACCCCTCCACCCAGACTCCCCCACCTCCCACATTGCACTGGGGCCTGCTGGTTGGAACTGCCAGTGTTCAGGCTGCCTTTCCAGAAACAATTTCACCGCTACAGGCCATTGCAGTGGTACAAGGAAAGGGCCTCTGTAGCCATCCTGTGGACAGGAGACTGAGAACCCTGGGCAGGAAGTGGCCTTCCAGAGGGCCACAGAGCAGCCAGCGACATACAGTCCAAGTAACATGCAAGCTTCCCTCACTCCAGAGCCCTCAGAAGAACCAGGAGCAGTTCCTCAGGTTCAGGAGGGAAGGCAGAGTGGCAGGGAGAAGAGCAGGGGGAAGGGTAGGCAGAGGGGCAGGGAGAGGAGCAGGCAGAGGTATGCATCCAGAAGGAGAGGGGAGCAATGGTCAGGAGGCAGTGGGTGAAACAAAGTGGCTCTGGCGTTGGTGGAACTTGGTTCAAGTATTGCTTTAGCCACTTCCTTATTATGTGACTCTAATAAACGCCACCACTGTTTCAGTATCTAGAAAATGGGATGATCCCAGCCACGCTGGGCAGGCGTGCTAGTTGGGGGCATGAAGCCTCCCCCTGTTTGGTGTCCGTTCTCTCAGAGCTGGGAAGCATCTGAAGGGGAAGTCAGGGTGCTGAGGATGGGAGATGGGCCGGTGGGAGGGACAGTGGCACGTGGAAGTCCCCGCCTCAGGTAGTAGTTACGTAGGAGCTCCATGGGAACTGGACCTGCCCGGCTCCGCTGAAACCCTCTGCTCAGAGCCTGGCTGTGGTGCGCTCTGCCAGGACAGCTATGAAAATATTTGCTTCCCACTTAAGGAAATTTACCAGGAATCCAGATAAGTTCAGAGGGATTTTCTTTCTCTTCCTTATTAGGATGTTCCCCCTTGCCTTTGAAACTAACTAAATAAGTAAACATCAACACAAAACCAAAAAGCCTTCGCTGCTCCCTGGGCTGCTGCTTGACCCCGGAATGACCCATCGCCGGCTTGCAATCTGGGGGTCTTTGAAATGAGCTCCCTCTGGAGTGTGTGTTATGGCTTTGATGCCTAGACTGTGGTGCTGGCCCAGGATTCCACCCATCGGGATGGCTGTGTCAGAAACATGGAAGCAGGTAACAGCACTTCCTGGGGGCAGGCGGTGTGCTAGGCACGGGCCACCGCAGTCTCAAGCCTCACTTATTTCCTAGGTCGCTCTGACTGTACAATGGCATTATTGTCCCAGAGCTCTTAATGAGGCACATGGAGGTGGAGAAAACAGCTCCCATTTTCCAGGCGCCTGAGTGGCGGGGCCGGATTCTAACCTTGCCCATCAGCTCTATGTCCATGGCTCCTATGGTATGCTGAGGCAGGTGGTACAAGTGCCATCTGCAGCCTGTGTTCTGAGGCAGCTGACTCTTCCCCTTTTGGACCTTTCCTGGTCTTACTCCTATGGAAAAGTCTGGAATTCACACTGGACACATGGCTGCAACTTGGGCTTCCTGAGTCTTAAGATGCTGATGCAAACAGTGGGAAAGGGCCTTACTTAGGTTCCTGACTTTGGAGGGCCAGCGGGGATGCTGAGTTACAGGAGGCTGGCAGAAGGCAGCCACTGGAGGGAGGATTTCCACACTGACCCCTCACCCTGAACCTGTCAGTCAGGCTTCTCTAGACCCACTAGCACACCCTGACTTGAAGGCAATGAGAATGGCCGGGAGAGAATGAGAAAGAGGAGAGGGGAGAGGGGAAGAAGGAGGCCTTCTCAGCCGACCCTCAGGACCACACTGGGCAAAGGTGAAATCAGGCACCCAGAGCCAGCCAGGCCCGTTGAGACATACTCACCTAGATCATGGCTCTGCTCTTTGGTGTCAAGCAGCTGGACGCTGATGGTTTCCTGCTTTTGGTCCCCATAGTAGGTCCCATCGGTCACCAGGTGGACAATGACAGCTGCAGCAACCATTGGCTGAGAAAAGTATGCCTGAAATGCACATAACATCAAGGGTCATGCATGCCCCTGTCCATGGTGGGGAAGCAGCCACAGGATGGAGGGGGGGCTGTCCCAGTGATAACCTCCTGTTTTAGGAACTGGATTACTCATTGTGGCTCTGTAATGGCAATGGAGGGGGCAGTGGAGCCTCCCAGTGAACAGCCCAGGCTCTCATATCAGAAACTCTGTTCCGATCTCGGCTCTGCTCCCTCCGAGATGCACCCATCCATCAGTGCTGACTGTGTCGCTCTGGGCCTGAGATTCCTCACCTCAAGTGGTGGATTAAGTGAAGACCCATATCACAGTGTGGCTCAATGAGATGATGGGAGAAAAGTGTTTGGCACACACTAAAAGTGTTTTGCACACACTGAAACCACACAAAGATGGTGGTGTTACTGTTTGTTATTCCTCCATGCTAACCTCTGTACTAGGCAGTGAGGAAACAAAGCTAAATGGGACATGCTGTAGACTATGAGGTTCAACATAGGTCAATAACATGCAAATCAAAATTCAATGCAATTCACAGTCCTTAGGAGGATGGCACCATGTGACAAGTGCCATCAACAGCTGACCAACCAAACATGTATAGGACTAGAGGAGAGAGAATAGCCACTTTTCTCTTGGGGTGATCACTATAGACTTCAGGGAAGATAAGGCAATTTTTAAAAGTCTTGAACAATGAATAGGAGATTCCAGGCAGACAGAAGTATCCAAACTCTTCCAAGACATGAATGACCTGGGGTGGGGGTGGGGGGGTACAAGCAATTAAAGGATTCCATTTCCATAAGCATCCCACTGATCAGTTTTTTCCCCCCCTATCCTTACAGTGAGCATCCTCAATGGACAAACAATCCTAAGAAAGGGGTCACAGGAGGCAGAGCTTCCTAGGGCCTCTGAAGCATGTAGGGCTCTCCAAGCACTGGCTTACCCGGAGCCAGAACGTGGTCTGGGAGTAGGGGTAGGTGACGGTGCAAGGATACCAGGCGTGCTGGGAGATGCCTTCACTGAGATCAATCACCTTGGTCCGACACACCTGGGAAAAGAGAAAGAAACACAAGTGCTGTAAAGAGTAACAGAGATTGACTTAAATTTAAATCGATAAATCTTTGCTGTCTATATATTTTGTCCTCTGCATTTGCAGGAAGAATCAGGGATGAAGAAACAATCAAGAATCTACCCCAGAAGCCCACATTCTCACGCATAGGAGGAAATCCTCAATGCCATTGATGGTAGGTAGAGTTGACAGAGTAATTCTATGGGAGCACAAATCCTAGAGGAGTTGATATTTGAGTTGGGTATGAACAGGGTAAGGGCATGGCAGGTAGAGGGAACAGATGCAGAGGCTCAATCTCAGAGGACAGCAGACATCCAGAAGGGTTAATCTGTGTAAGCTGCCTGGTATTATCTGAGCTAGGGAAAGTGGCAGAAAAGACAGGCTGTGGGGTCTCATAGACTCTTGAACACCAAGCAGAGCACACTTAGAAATAAATCTGTAAACTGTGCTCAGGGCTACATTAACAACAGAGCAAGACTGCGATAGTATGAACAGTTGCTTCCCCCTAAGAAAATCAGCTCAACCACTTTATATGTATATATGTAAACATATATCCACACATACACATGCATTCACTCTCAATGACAGATACACCAAATTTGTGTTAAAAGAAACACAAAGGTATAGACCAGCAAAATTCTTTAAACTTAGGGGCTTTGTGTGTATCCAAATGTCACTTCATTCATTGGTTCATTCATACATTCAGATTAACATTTATTGAGTCACTGCTTTTTGCCAAGCACTGTGAGATGAGAGGTGGGTAAAAGAGATGGCAAGGAGCTCAGAGTGGCAACATATGCAGATGTTCATTGAATAATTGCATAGACACACATAACTGTAAACTGCAGAGCAGGAAAGGGCTATGATGGAGAAGGACAGGAAGAGCTGAGCTGTTCTTGTGATTGGCCAGAACATGAGCAGGTCATCCAAAAATAGTGCTTTTCCCCCGAGCTCTAAAGTGGCTCCTCTCTCCAAACCTCCCTGTGAATTTGTGTTTGTCATTCCACATCTGCAGATATCAGTCTGCTCATTTAAGAAGTAAGGCTGAGCTGAAGAGGATCAAGATATCCAAGGATGAAGGATATTCATTCTATCAATATCTACAGTAGCATCAGAGTGGAAATAGTTTGTCTGTTCATCTGTTAGGGAAGGGATGGATAAAATAACATATTTACATGATGGGATTCTATGAGCAAAAGTGTATTAAGAGGACTGAATGATATTCATATACAGGGATGATACTAACAATATTTAACACCTGCTTAGCATGGGTCCTGGCCAAGCAAAATGAAAGCCTCACTTGTGAGTTCACAGACATCAACTTGGAAAGATTGCAAAAATATAACACTGAATAGATTAAAAGGAACAAGACCTAAGTGGGTAAGTACATTTTATACCATTATAAAAATCACACAAAACAAGATTATACCCAGGGATTCATGTAGATGACAACAGAAGAATTAAAAAATGGAGTAGAGAAGTTCTACACCAAATTCACTAATGAAAGGCAAGATAAAAATACTTGGCTGCACTATAATCTATAATTGCAAACATTAATGCTTTTTAAAAAAATAACTTTTTTGTCCTAGCTGGTTTGGTTCAGTGGATAGAGTGTCAGCCTGTGGACTGAAGAGTCCCAGGTTCAATTTCAGGCAGGGCACATGCCCAGGTTGCAGGCTCAATCCCCAGTAGAGGGTGTGCAAGAGGCAGCCAATCTGTGATTCTCTCTCATCAATGATGTATCTACTTCCCTCTCCCTCTTCCTTCCTCTCTAATCAATAAAAAAAAAAGGTTATAGCTTTAAAAAATATATAACCACTTTATTTTGGAGTAAGAAAAATTGCAAAGATAATACTGGGATGTCAACGTTAACATCTTCATCAATTCATTCTTGAGACCTCAGAGAAAAGAAGAAAGTTGCTTAACCAACTTTGGAGAATCACCTTATCACTCAAGAGTTTTGCAATAGCAAGCTGGCTATGGATTAGGGAGATCTGGTTCTGGTCCAGACTCCCCAACATTCGATGTATATTTGTGGACTAGGACTAGTTATCTCACCCCTTTGAACCTGGGATTTATCTTTCACATTTGAATACTGGATGGCGTCACAGGTTTTCAAGGTATCACCTATGAATTCTTAGGGTTCTCTGAAGGTGTCAGCCTGGGGGTGGGGGTGGGGGCAGAACCTACTTACTTGAAACTCCACCGTTTCAACTGGGCCATCATCTGAGCATCATCTGTTTTAGATATCAAGCCACCTTGAAAGTTTCATTTACAAAAAGAGCTTTAATGCTTCAAAAACATTGAAAATTACTGAAATGTGTTCATTGCCAAAGTTTCCCTCACAGTGGGTCCTGGAAATGCAGTATTGGTTTCTTGAATGTCACAAGTCACTTCTTAAGAAGAGTCAAGGTCCCAGGGATTAAGTGATGGCTTCTAGGAGCTGCAAGCATTCAGATCTCTAGGAGCCTAACACCCAAGGGACCACGGGTAAAACACAGTCACATTCATGGGATGAAAGACATATTGAAGTTTATTTGTTTTTCTCAAAAAACAACTGGGACAGGACTTAGGCAGGCCTGTCAGTGGATTGTGTTACATTTTACAACAGTGAGAGACTTTGCATAAACTATCTATGGCATTCGGAGTTCAGGCCAGCAATTTTGGAATTCTTTCCTCTTGTGGTCTTAGCTGCATGTCCCCCAGCAGAGTGTGGTGGGGCACATCTCTGGAGGGCATGTGTGTCTGTGTATTGGGAGGCATTGGGGGCTTATCTCCACATCTAAAGCATTCCCAGTCAAAGAAGTCTTGCTTCAATACTATTTCCTCTTATCTCGGCAGCCCTATCAGTGCTAGACAGGACTTTAGAAGAAGGTGCTGCTGTTAATTCTTTTCCTGTTTTCCTATTTAGGGTTGGGTTTGTTTCAGGCTGGCTGGGATCCTGACCAGGGACAGTGAAGGCAGATCAGAGAGGAATGAATAAATCCTCAAAACCCCAGTTGATCTTAAAACCATCTAGGTCCATGGGAGGTGGGGGAGGCTACGCAGGGGGCAGACACTCGCAGCTCCTGCTTTGATGGACCTGGCATGCCTCTGCTCACTTAGCTGCTCTTTTTGGAGGGTGCATGGCACACTGGACTCTGAAGTCCCGAGAAGAGAGCCTTGCCCGTGCCCATGGCCACACTTGTATCCTAGGCAGATCATGAAGGATACAGGTGTAATCCCAAGGTAATGAATTCTATGGGGATGCTCTGTTTTCCTCCACCCATTTTTGCACCTTCCCCTCCAAAAGCAAACCCCAATGCCATAAAGCATGAGTGGGAATGTAAAACTGATTGAACATTCTGTGAGGGAACAAGCAGGAGAGGCACATCACACACTTCTGTGAGCCCAAGCCCACCCTCCTCTTCACTCATCATAACCCTGTGTCCAGTTTCTTCAGTGACCTTCCCAATCTCTCCCAACCTTCTCCCCATTCCAATGTGCATCTCTGTGAAAACTGGTACAGAACCATCTGCTTTCCCTTAGGTTCTCTACTCTCACACTGCAAATCTTTCCGAGGATGCCAAAGGTTCCACTCTGCTCCCCAGGCCAAGAGATGGCAGGGGGTTGAGCACAGTAACTTTTTAAACCTGTGTCCCACTGGCATGAACAAGATCTGATCCCTCCCTTCACATCGCTCACTGTCTTGGGGCCCATAGGAACATCTCCAGCCTCCAGGCTTCAGATTCCCCTGAAACAGGGGTGCAGAACAACCGGCCCAGGGGTTTGTATAAGGCCGGCAAAATCACTTGGTCTGGCTCTGCCAAGGCACTAGGGGTGAGATAATTAAATCTTTGATCAAATATAGCAGGCTAATTTTTAAGTTGGTAATTTTGTATGGTCCCACAAATGATATTATAAATATCTAAATGGCCCTTAGCAGAAAAAGGGTTCCCTACCCCCTACCCTAGAGAGATAAAGAGGGGGTCTCCTATCACTGGAAACATCTGTGTGCACTGCCCACACCCATGGCTATTCTAGTATCATCTACAATAGTTAAGATGTGGAAAAACCTACCTGTGCATGAACAGATATGTTGATAAGCAATATGGGGTATACACATACAATGAAATAGTATTCAGCCTTAAAACAGAAGGAAATCCTGCCATTTGAGGCAATATGAATTAACCTTGAGGACATTATGCTACATGAAATAAGGCATTCACCAAAGAGCAAATGCTACATGATTTCCCTTCTATGAGGTATCTAAACTAGTCAAAATCATAGACTCAAAGAGCAGAATGGTGGTGGCTAGGGGTTGAGGGAGGAGAAAGGGAGTGGCTGATCACTGGGCATGAGGTTTCAGTTAAGCAAGATGTTCAGTTCCATTCTAGAGGTCGGCTGTGCAATGCTGTGTCTACAGTCAGCCACACTGTATGGCACACATAAAAACGAAAGAGGGTGAATCTCTTGTTAAGTGTTTTATCCCAATAAAATGAAATAAATAAAACAAATGCTATTTTGAATGATTAAAATATTGATGTTCATCAAATTAATGAATACATTAATAAATAAATGCTCTGGTGAGAGTTGGAGGGAGGTTTATATAATGGTGTTAAGCAAGGAGTCATGTGGTTGGGCTGGCAAGCACCCTCCCTTAGGTCTTGCCAGGGCTGGAGGAGGGATTGCCTAGCATCCTCTTGATTGCTTCATAGACAGAGAACTCAGTTCCACGGATAGACAGCCAACTTTAGCTTTGGACAGCCCTGCCAACAGCCAGGGGAAAATACCTGGCTGCACTTTCTCCTACTCTTTCCGGGAATTTGAATACAGGTTATCTACTGGATGGTTCCTTTTTCAGTGGTCAAGGGAGGAAGGTGATTTGCACAATATAACACAGGAAGTAAATGAAAAGTGGTTATGAAAATGCAAAATGGGATTCCCTTTCCTCACCTATGTTCTGCACCCTCTCAATCATACTTTTGTTTGGTAAAAGA